ATTAGTCGACGTGCGTGCGCGAGCGAGAATGCGCGCGGCTGGTCGGCTATTCGCGAGAAATTGTACGGAAAATTGAGTCGTCGGCGTGCGCGCGGTGCGCCGCGCGCGCGCTGCGAGAGAGAGAGAGCGTGCCGTGAAAGTCGTATAAATAATTTTTATGCGACTTCGACTTCCCTCGCACGCAGTTTCGCTCTTACGGGGGTGTAACGTTTTATCTCGGCCCCTAAGCTCGCCGGGAGTCCCTCGACATTTCCCCGAGGACATGTAAATTCGCGCGGGAAGAAGGGGCGCCGGGGTCGCGTCGCGCCAATAACGTCGAACTGGCGTATAATTGGCGCGTACTTAGGAAGGGAAATCGGGAATTTCGTACGAATATGCGGGGACAGGTGTGCCCGCGAGGTGGGGAAGGCGGCAGTTTCGCGGCTGTCGGACGCGATGAATCTCGGCGGCGAGCGAAACGGTCGCGCCGTTTCCTCGCGGTAATTCCGCGGCATATATTCTTTCCGCGGATACGTCGTGTTATTTCTCGCTCTAGTTATGTTTCTGCAACATTTCCCCGGGGCGGAGTAAATTTGAAGACGAGGAAGAGAAAGAAAATATTGTCCGCTCCGTTGGCGAGGCGGCAAAGAAGCAGTTTCGGGCGCACAAAGGGCTCACAAAATAGATCATCCGACGAATCTTCCGACGGGAATATCACACGGGCAGGCCGTTCCGCTTTAAAATCCCCGCTCTGTAGTGCAGCCTCGCGCCAATTCTCAATCGAAATGCGCAAATTATCGTTATTGCTCTATTATTACCCGCGTGACTTTACTCCCCCTCGCCCCCGAACGATGAATGATTAATTTCGCGTGTGTGTCTCACGAATTTAACGAAGTCCCGCGATGAGCCGAAAACTGGCAAATATTTGCCGACAACTTTGTCCCACGGACGACATGTTAATCGCGCGGGCCGACAAATACCGCCGATGCGCATAATGAGCATCATTAATCTCGGGCCGAAAAACATATTGCTCGTCACGCGAATGTAACGTGCGAGCAAACCCGAGTCGAAATTTATGTTCTACATTAAGTCTATTTAATTCTACGTTAAGTTTCCAAAAGTCTTCTATCGCGCTTCTTTTGACGCCACGAATGGGAAGTTCCCGAAAAGTCGAAATTTTTAATTCTACGTTAAATCTTCAAATGGAGGAAACTGGAATAAATTCCCACTTGTAGCGTGAATAGTAAGTGTTCCTTTCACGCTACACAGGGAATCTAGTCCTGCAGAGCCGAAATTTTAGTTTTACATCTTCGGAGAAAGCGGAGAAAAAACTTCCCCATTTGTAGCACCAAAGGAGCACAATAGAAGATCTTTGAACGCTTAACGTAGAACTGAATTAGACTTAAATTAGGACTAAAATTTCGACTTGGCTTACTTCCGTTTTCTTCAGTCTTCGGGCTCAATGTAGAACCAAATAGATTTAACATAGGACCAAGATTTCGACTTGGGAATTCTCGCGGAGAAAAATGTAAAATCGTTCTCGTCCGATATCTCGCGTGAGAGAGAGAGAGAGAGAGAGAGAGAAAAACCTCTAGATCTCGAAAACTATCGTTCAATCGAGATCGGCCGCGAGATGCGCACTTGTATCCGCGTACTCGCCGACGACGAATCTAAATTTCTAATCGCTCCGATGCCCGCGGATCGCCGCGGAGCCAGACGCAACGGGGGCGCTAATACTCCCGTTTCAGTTCGCGGGAGCTCCGCTACAAACAATTTGCCTGAAATTGCCGTACGTGCGCGATAACCGCTCGGGAGAACGGGAATGGCCCCCCCGGGAATGCGGCCAAGCGTCATCTTCTTCGCGGCTCACGTCTTACAAAAATTCGCGGCGTGAGCGCGCGCTCCGGGGAAACTATGCAGGCGGGGTCGGTAAACCGTGCGCCCACCGTGCTCACTCTCGAGATCCTTAAATTGCCATTACGTCGGCGAAACGCTCGTAGAACGCTCGAGTGTCGCTCGACTTTGGCGAATTTCGCAACTAAACTTCATTGTGGGTAAAAACACGGAGTAAAGGCGCGCTCGCGTGCAAAAACCCGCCCGTTAAACTGCGAATGTACCGCTGACTTCATTAAACTTATCGCGATCATAATGGAAGATCGCGCGCCGCGACCGACGCCGCTACCGCATTAATAAAAGCCGTTAATAGAGACTACGTTTAACTAACAATTTGCGAACGGCTTTCGCCAGATCAGACCGCGGTACCCCGTGTGTCTAAGCGGGAACTTCAGGCGCGTAACGTACAACCACTGCAGGCTTTAAGCTCGCGGAATACGAGGAATATGCGGGAGGGAGGGGCGCAACTTCGGCGCATTTTAACTTCTATTCCCCCTCGCATTTCCGTCAACTACGCCGGCCAGATGGGGCCTCGTGGGCGCACTGTAATGCGCCCACGGTACTATTGTATTTTTAAGTCGCCCTTACCTGAGAGCCTTAAATACCGATACTTTGTGCCGCTTTATATCATGCCATTCGGTGCCGTTTTTCAAGCGGAAGAAGAGCAACTTTTTAATAAAGAGAGAAGGAGAGATAGAGTACATCCCTTGTCTCCGCTATTCTTCAGCGACTCGGCAGATAGACTCGCAATCCGAGCGGCGCTTCTCGAATGTAAATATGCAATCATTCCCGAGGAGACTCGTGCAAATAAGAGGAGCCGTGATTTCATCGCGTCGTCCGAATAAGCTACGGCTAAATCGAAAACAATGTCCGAGCAAATTATTAACGCGGCTCTCTCTCCCCCTCTCTCTCTCTCTCTCTCTTTCTTTCTTTCGTGATTCGACGATAATACGGATTTAACGAACGACCGAACGAGAAAACCGGCCGTGCGAAATAAACTGGTAAGATTATTTTTATATCGTACGCACGGAGCCACACGCACGCTCGCAAATTCCCGATCGCCGTCCCGATTCGCGTAACCTTCTACAACCGCTCGGTAATGGCAAGGGTTACGTTTATTCAGTCGTCGTCGTCGTCTTTATCCTTCGCCGGACGCGTCTATAATTAATAAGCCGCGCGAAAAGGCAGCCGGTGTCTGTTAGCGTCGTGCCACTCGGCCGTGCAGTTATTATTACCTCCCTGGAACAAACACCGGCCGGGTTGCCTACGCCAAATGCAGAAGGGCTAATTATATCCAGTACTATTATATTGAATGTGTGCATAGATATGTGTGTGTGTGTGTGTATGTGTGTATGCCGAATGATATTTACGACGAATAAATATTCTACTGCTGCGCAACGATATCCTTGACGTTCACGCGATTTCGGCCTCGTTAATTGGTAAAGCACGCTTGTGCCGACTAGGAAGATCGGAGGCACTCTTAAAACGAATCAGTGTTGAATTGAATCAGTAGGATATATTTCACCGATATCGATAAATATTTACTGATTTTCAGTAAGATTTCACTGAAATATCTGTGGTATTCCATCGGCTGCTGTTAACTAGATTCTTTCAGCGAAACTTTGCTGATTGCAGTACTAAACTTACAACTGATTTCACTGTTTCGCAGTGACAATACGCTGATTCCACTTTAGGAAGAGTATGATTTAGCAAGGAAGAATTTTGCCGGGGCGCCCCCGTTTCCGTGCGAATACCAAGCACAGCTACGCATATTTAACGCATTACGCAAGACGTCGCGACGCACTGTCGCATATTCATCGGGCACGGACACCGAATGTGTCATCGCGCACGCACGCACGCGAAGAGATATCCCGGAAGTGAACAGCGTTCGCATACAATGCGCAATTTGTCCCGCGGCCATTGCTATCCTGTTAAACAAGCACCGGTAGTCGCGTACACAAAGCACGGTATAGTTAATTAGATCCGTGTAATTATATTTGCGACGAATTAACATTTTCACTGTGCAACGTTACGACAAAGGCAATCGTCGGCTGTGAGACAACCCGTGACACATTTATATCCGAAATACCAGTTTTATCATCTCCCTCCCTCCCCCCGTCGTCGTCTCGGAACAAGATGCGGGCGTGTACGTGCAATATGCGACTGTATACATACGCTTTTCCGCGATGTTTTGAGCGAAGAATTTAATTTCATTATTTTGTTGTTATGTGAATAAGAGATTGTTAACGTGGTAAAATGGATAACATTTTACTAAATTTATTTCAGCGGGACAACTTCTTGATTAAACTGCATTAATTCTCGTCCAATTTGCTCGTCGAGTACAAAACTCGACATATTCCTGATTAAAGAGGGCTCTTAACGGCAGATCTGTCCCGTTTTCATTTTCGCACTGGCGCGATTTTTGTCGGATAAACAACGAGCGCATTTATCCCGACGCGGTTTCGCGGTAAAACATTATTTATATTTAATCCAATAAATCAAAGCTCTCTCTCTCTCTCTCTCTCTTTCCCCCCTCCCTCCATCCGTCCCTCCCCTTCTCTCTCACTCTTTCTTTCCTTCCCTTCTTTCTTTCTTCATTTTAGAGGATAAAAGTGCGTAACTCACGCTATACGGTTCAACATAAGTCAATCCGTGCTTGAATAAAAAATCAGAATTTTATCGGCTGCCCATCGAGTCGGATTAATTTCCCAGTCGAGGAGAAACGCCGGGAAACGCCACCTTTGTGATCTCGCGACCAAGGAACCCTGCCGGCCCGCGACAAAACGTCTAATTAATTGCGACGGGCTGGCGGGGGGAGAGGGGGCGGGGGACGAGTGCAACGCGTTGCTGTGGCGCTCTCGCGTTTAAACGGCCCGTATCGCCCACCATTAATATTTATAACGGCCTTATCATCAAACTTCATCATCGCTCGCCCATCGAGCAGGGTTAAATGCGTCGTCGTAGCAAAGAGAAATCCTAAAACAGCGTCCCTGTCCGCCCCGTAGTTCGCGTCGCCACCACCACTGGCCGGCAGGCAGGCAGGCAAGCAAGCAGGCAGGCAGGCAGACAGGCCAGGGGTGCAGGAACGAGCGGGGTCGACCCTGCGCGCAGCCTCCCCAGTCCACCCCGAAGATTCAGTCGTCGTGCGGCAGAGGAGGACCGAGGAGCGCCCGGTCGAAGCGCCGAGGTCCTCTCTCCACTCTCTTCGTCTCCTATCTCCGCACGCGTATCCCTTTTTATCTACCTCGCGTTCTCTCTTCCCCCCTCTCTCTCTCTCTCTCTTACTCTCTCCCTCTCTCTCTCTCTCTTGCTCACTGTCTCTCTTTCTGTCACGAGCGAGCTGAAAACGACCGGTTCCCTCTTTCACTCTCTCTCTTCATATCTCTTTTTCTTCTTCTCCCCCCTCTCTTTCTCTCTCTCTCTCTCCTTCTGTGTCTCTCTGTCTTTCTCTCTCTCTCTTTCTCTCTCTCTCCGCACGCCGCAGCCGCGAGTGAAAACGAGCCGGGGCAGCGCCGCGCCGACCTTTACCATTTTGGTACACGCAGCACGCGACACGCACGGCCGTAAAGCCGCGCACGTCCTCCACCGCCGATCCTCGCGCCTCGTGAAGGAAACGTGAGAGGAACTGGCCGGATTTTATCGGAATGCGCGCGGGGCGGCCGGTCCGCTGCGTGGATTCCATGACGAAACGACGGCGACGCCGGTCTGGGGGTTGCTAGCCTCCCTCAACTCCGCCTCTCGTTCCCGTCGCTCTATTCGCGTCTCGCTCGCGCTCGCTTCGCTCTCACCACCACGAGCAGCGCAAAGGGTGGGTGGCGGTGATACGCCGGTGGCAGTGCCGGCAGTAGTGTGTGGGTACTTGTACCGGTGGGTACTTTAATGCGGTGGTGGTTGTTGGTGGTGCTGCCGTTGCTAGTGGTGGTGGTGGTGATGGTGATGGTGGTAGTAGTGGTGGTTTAAATTTCAGCCGCGTGCACGAGTTCACCTACGTGAGCCATTACACGGGTCCTCGGCTTCCTTGCCGACTCGGAGGCTATACGAGACAGAGAGAGAGAGAGAGAGAGCGGTCACGGTCCACGGACGCAAATTCTGCCCACCTTCGTCATTCGCGTATGGCTTTTCTCTTCGCCGCCTCGTACACACAGCCTGTGTGTATGTGCCGTCCGTAAAGTGCGACTCCGTTCCGTCGAACGTCTCGTCCGAAATCTGCGTGCGTTCGATCCTACCTACCTGCCGGTGACGATATCGGCTGACCGTCTCTCTTTTGTGTGTGTGTGTGTGTGTGTGTGTGTGCGCGTGCTTTGTCGAGAGTATGCATCCTATCACTGCGTTGTCCGCGTCGTCTTGTTGTACCGATTATCGAGGTAAAGTAGCAGCCAGGGAGACGCGATAGGCAATATTGGCCATCCCGTGGCATTGCGAAACGCGGAAAAACACGTCGCGGACGTAGCGCGGAGTACTATGGAAATTGCCGTTCCCGGCGATCGTAGATAGCGCGGGGCAACCTAGGCGCCGGTGGACAGACGAGACGTCACATCTCATGATAATTAAAAATGTTGGGAAAACGCTACGCGCTGTAAATTTCGACGAGCCGGAGCGAGCGCATCCTTCCTTCAGCTTTATTCGAGCCCGCACCGCTTTCACCGGCTTCAGCAGCTTTAGAGAAACGTTCTCTTCCAAGCCGGCTTTCCTCACGTCTCGATCGGCCAGCGATACCAATCGCACGTAATCAGCGCTCGAGATTCTTGCCACCGTCCCACCAGGCCACGTAACGGCCGTAACTACGTGAGATTACGCATCACCTGCCGATTCGTTGATCCTATTACCGGTCGTAATAGAGTTTAGGGAGCTTGTAGCGCGCATTCTCGCCTTTCGCCGCACCTGTTATTGGCTCCGATAATCTCGCATCTTTCAAGCGACACAGCATCGCTTTCTTCTCCATTACACCTCCCTTTCCGCGCGTAGAGATGGTCGAGGGGACATTTCCGATTTTCTTTCACGAGATCCCGCGTGTGCAAACGCGGCCATGTGTGCGCGGAATGGCCACATATGTACTCCGAAAGCGCGTTAAGTACGTAGACGCGTGTGGGTGATACGTGCGCGAATATGTACATGTGTGTATGTGTGCGCGCTCGCGTGTTGTACACGCGTGTACGTGTATATATATGTTTCCATCGGACGAGAGTATCGTATCACTGCGACGGTCCCTCGGCCAGTCGCGACCCTCTTCAACGCGGCGTAAAAACAGGAAGTATGGTAAAAACATCAGCCGTTCCGCCGTGATACCCGAAGCCCGTTTAATCGGCCACCCGGGCGAAGTGGGAGTACTGGAAATTACCGAGATGTATCTCTCCGATCCGATTATTTCACGTGAATCCGCCGCGAGATTAAACGGCTTTCTACGAGCCCGATGTCCGCGCGCACATATTCCCATTTACACAGAAATATATATATATATATATATATATATATATGTATGTGTGTGTAGATGGGCATCATTCCCGGAAATTCCGTCGGAACGCCTTCTTCTCCGGCAACAATTAGACGCGATAAAATCGTTAACGATCTCGTGCGCACGCGGCCATGATGTGGAAACGACGGAAAGAAAAAAGAGGCGCGATATCGTGGATATAGAAAAAGCGATCTGACAGAACAACGGGTACGGGATCGTGCGGACGGAGCGTGTACCTTTCAAATAAAGCGCGCAGTTTGCCACCCCCGACGCGTTTCGCAAGAGCGAGTTGCACGGGGTTGCCTTATGGATGAGCGTTCGAGGTCTCGCTCGCAGCGTGACGGTTGGAAATGTGCGGATGCAGTCCAGGGGTGGTTTGTTTTGCGCCCGACTCATTCGCTGAATAGAATACCGGCTCGCGCTTGCCGGTGTGCGCGCTTTTTTCCGCGATGGAGTGTTGCGCCGAGACGATCGACTGCGCGGAGGACGAGAGTGCACAAGGAGGAGAAGGAGGAGGAGGAGGTGGAGGAGGCAAAGCGAGAGGACGAAAAATATGGCTCGTGTGCATGTCGAGCGTGTCGAGCTTGCCTTTTTGTTTGTGCCCTGTGCTTCTGTCTTTTCTACTTCTTCTTCTTCTTCCTCCTTCTCCTCTTCTTTTCTCTCTCTGTATATATTTCGTCGTCGCCCGCCGCCCGCTCGAGGATCGTTGACCGTGTCGAATATCGGTCATTGCAAATGAGATTCACAGGGGGCGAAGAAGTCCGCGGTGGGACTTTCCGTCCCTCTACCTACTCTATTTCTCGCGAGAAACTCCCGAAGTAAACGGCAGGGCGGTAAGAGAGAGGAAGGGAAAGAGAGAGAGAGTGCCAAGTTGCGGGCTGGCAGGGTCGTTTAAATGTTTAGATTCGCAGTGTGAAAGTCCCTCTCTTTTCCTTACCTACGCGGAAAACTTCTTAACACGCGCGGGTTCGTATTCGAATGCGCGGGAGAGGTCTCTTTCTCTCTCTCTCTCTCTCTTTCTCTCTCACTGACATCGCGAAAAAATACTGCTTTCCGTTGTACTCGGGAGACGCGAGTCGGGGATCTCAAGTGGCTTTAATTTCGACCACGGTAATTTTCGTGGTTGTGGAAACGACCGGCGCCTCTTCGCCTCCGACGAGAATAATTATTTTAGGCGGCGTGACCGACGCGACGGACGCGAGTCTCGTTTATGATTCACGAGAGAGACGGAAAGAAATAAGACAGAGAGAGAGAGAGAGAGCGCACACGGACGCGCGTCAATTTGGCCGAAATCGAGCTTTCTCGCTACGATTATACCGGCTGAATTATCGAGAATATGTCGCCTCGGACTTCGGATTCTCCGAGAACGAGATTATTCCGCGAAACAGCTGCCGTATCGCAAACGCACATTTATACGTGCGTCGCGTGTATCGCCAAAAATTAGTCTCTTTAATCATTTAGTTTTGTATGTATTTTTAAATAGACATTAATATTTCCTCGAATATATACGTATTTTTTAAATGTTCGTTTCGCGAGAGTGTATTATTCCCGATGCCGTAACTACCACGCAAATATCTCCGTCAAAAAATATTAGCTTTACGTTTATTGCTTTTTGCAGTGGCCTCGCCGAGATTATGACGCTTTCGAACAATAGCGTCACGCGGTACGTTGCTGCTTTTTCATCCTGAAAATAAACCTTCGCAAAAACTTCGGCGAGAGCTCTCATACCGGCCACGCATTTACATCGCTAAAACACACCTAAAACGATGAAGTAATCGCTCGCTACCCGCAGCCGGGAGAAAATTCCGAAGAATGCCCCCCCGCGTCCAATTATTATCATACGAGATCTTGCGCTGCGGACAATCCCGGGGCGATTTGCATAGAACGAATTTTCGGGAATTTCCCGGAGCTCATCCGCGTCGATAAGCATCGGCAAAATGTTTGGAAGTAGTTAAATTTCCTTTCCTACCCAGAGTTTCCTATAATTTAACATTTTTCGCTTATTAGGGTTATTCCGTTCACTTTATGCGGGCGTAACGGAAATAATCAATATCCCGAGTAGAAATTAAGCGTGGCCTGTCCCAAGTCTGTAATGGACCTCAATAAGCATGTCCACCAAAATCGGTCAGTTTTCGTTGGGCCTAAATATGGATAAGAAAGGCAGATTCTAAATGGATTCCCATGAGTAGGTCTTACAGTTGTACGTTAATTTCTTGTCTCAAACGAATACGGAAGAAACGGACGGAGATAACTCGCACGATGAAACAGCTCGTTTGCGACAAGAAACCAACGACAACTGTCTCAAAGCTTGCATTGATTCAATTTGTGCAGGACTGCTTTCCAGTCCGCGTTTTGAATTTCTACCCGGGATATTACTGATATCCGTCCGCGCGATAGCGCTTTGTAAAATGTATCGACCGTTTATTCTGCGTACGGACGAGATTTTCCCCGACACCGCGACAATTTTTAACGAAACCTCTCTCTTGCCGCACGAAAAGCCCGATGGAAACGCACGCCCGTCTCACACCTGCCCTCGCAGCAGCTCGCTCTCCGCAACGAGCGCATACGTGCTGAAAGCTCGAGGCGCGGCGGTCGGCGCGGAGCCGTTTAGCGAGAACCGTCGTTTCTGCACCTGTGCGCCGCTGTTCTTTCAGAATCGACCGAATCGGCGACGCGAGAGCCGAAGGGAATACCGCGCAACGAGATGCCAGCTTTCGCACCGTTCGCGCCGCATCCTGGGAGATACGTCAGCCCGCGCGGAGGACGTTCGTGGGAACGCCGCTCGACGGTTTCGCACTTTTCTACTAAATCAGCCGTTAACGTCCCGGCGGATGCGAGACGCGCTCCGATCTACGATCGATAAGCGTCCCGCGAAACAGTGACTCAATTCGACCGTCGTCGATTCGTTCGTCGACGTCGACGCGGACGTCGGCCCGGAGTGGAACGAGAGCGAGACAAAGAGAGGAGGGCAGGATTCCGCGATGTGCGTGACGGGGAAGACGTACGAGCAAGAAATGGATGGGAAAAGTACGTTCGAATCTTAGCCCGCTCTGCCCCGTAAATAGCGTTTTGTAACCCCCGTCACGTGAAATCGATATCCCCTTAAGAGCCGGTCCGTGAGGTCGTTCGTCAGAACGGTGCACCCTGTTTCACCCGCGCCACCGGCAGAAGAGGGGACCGTCGGAGATCTGCGGGGGAGGCCGGTGGACAGAACGGGGTGGTTGAATAAAAGAAGATGCACAGAAAGGGGCCAGCGTTTCTCGCCGACATGGGACCGCTAATGTTCTTAGTAACAGCCTCTCTGCTGGGTTACTGCCAAACGGACGAAAAAGGTAAGACGCAACGTCGTCGTGACTCGACCTTTCTCTCACTCTTTCTCTCTCCGCCTGCTTACCATTCCTTCCTCCCTTCCCCTTCGTCCCTCTCCGTCCTACCTCCAGCGCGGAGGCGCGCGTCGAAAGAAATACGGATTTTGCTTTCCGCATCGCGAAGGGACGACGCGAGATAGTGGCGCGGGGGAGGGGGGGAGGAGGAGGGGGGGGGCGCGAGAAGGAGCGGCAAAGATTAACTTTTATGGCCGCCGGCATGAGTAGTTCTCGCGAATTTACTTATAGCGAGAGCGGTTTAATGGTCGCCGCCACCGTCGCGCACACATCGCCAAACGGCGCTTTTAATAGTACGCGAGATCGCGCGCTGCAGCCAGCGACCCTTCGTAAACAACCCCGCGCGATTATATCGGGAGAAATGTGCGCGCGAGCGCACCTCTGTCTCTTATTAACTTTCTTAATTTGCGAACGGCCGATACCGGACAACCGTACACCCACGGTTCTTCTTCTCCTTCGGCGCTACCGTGCGATCGATGAAATTCCGCCGATACTCCACGCCTTGAAATAACATGCTGATAGAAAATTATAGTCCCGGCGCCAAACATATTTTATAATAATAGCACGCATGTAAGGTTATTATCGCCGACACTGTAATAACGTTTACTAAACAAATGGTTCTCATATTTTTCCGGTTAAAAGGGAGACCGGAGGTAGTTATATCTTAGTTTTGTACGTAACAGAAGGCGATTAAAATTCTGTGAAATAAATGGACTGTTAAATAAAAGTTTCAAATCTTACCCGATGAAAATAGCGAGATATCAACAATAGATGTTTTTAGCTTTAAGAAATCGACCAATCACAGTCGACTGTGAGGAGATTAATCGACTGATTGGTCAATTTCTTGAAACACCATTGCGACCGGGAGTAAAGCTTTGTCTATAATGAGAATTTAAGGCGTAAGGCTTAAACTTTAAGCGGTAAGAAATTGACCAATCGCAGTCGAATGTGAGATCGATTGTGATTCATCAATTTCCTACGGCTTAAAGCTCCAAGCTCGGACGTTACACGCCTTAAATTCCCACTGTAGACGCCGCTTGTAGAGATTCAAGCGGTTGATAATTCCACAACTATAATTAATACAATTCTATCCGCCATGTTGCAACGCAACAGTCTAGAAATCGTGGTATTCCATATTACCCGCCCGTATTCCGCATTACCTGCACTTCCTCTATTTCCACGCCTTGGAGAATAACGCACTCCAACGGCCGTCCGCGTCCCGGCTGGAACGTTCTCGATATTTTACAGTTATTCCACGGATAATTCGAGTACGCCGTTTCCGTGTCTTATCACGCGGAAGTTTCGAACGTATCATGAAACATTCACGTTACGTCTTCCGTTGTAGAAAGAGAGCGCGAACTATTTCGCGCGCGCAACGCGGAGTACCGCACCCCGACTGTATGCTAAAAACAGGGGGCGGGAGGGAGCGGAAATTGTTCCGTGGATATTGCGAAATAAGTCATTTAAATTCCTCCGACGTCGTTATGCGCGCGTGCTGCGTGCCCGCCGCCGTCGATAAATACGAAACGGATTGGTATTTTTTCCACGATGCTAAACAGAACGCGATAACATGCATCATGACGCGTATCGCGCACGCACCCGCGTTTTATCATTGGCAAAATAGTCGGAATACGATCGCGAAGTTACTTCGGAAATCGATCTTTCCTTTTTTCCCCTTGTTTCTCCGTTACCGCAGCAACAGTCCCCTAGCGAGCGCGATGTAAACCGCGCGCAGGCGGGAGGAACGAACGAACGAACGAGCGGGTGTTTTCAGAGTCGCTAATTAAATCTGCCCAATTCGCAATAATCGAACGCGGAAATCACCGTTGAAGTAATAACTCTGCTGCTAAATCATACGCGGGTTACAATACACGGGCGAAAGTGCACTCGCGCACGAATTATCGGCGTGTCCGTTATCATTGCGCGATACTCGATATACGGCCCGCGCCGTCCAGAATAAACCGGATGATCGAAACGGTGTAATCCGCGCGCCGTTATAGTTTTCACGGAACCATCTTCCCCGGGACGCCGCTATCTTACCCGATCGATCTGAATTTAACGAGCGGTCAGATCATCGCAATACAGGTCGAAATAGAAAATCTCTAACGTGCTCGAGCTCCGTTAAAAAAAAAAAAAAGAGAGAGAAAGAAAAAAAGAGAGAAAAAACCGGGGGAAAAAAGGAAAACAGAAAAAAGAAGGAGGTTCGCCGGCGGGTTCGTAACAATCAATAACGACGTGTCGCGTATTTCCGTACCGATAAAATTCGCGCACACACACACATGCATACGCGCGCCCGAGCGCATATATGGACGCGAATTAACGAATTCTTTTTTCACATATTTTTCTGTTTGTCATACATTCAGGGGGGAGAGGGGGAGGGGGGAGGAGGTCGATTCGATTAAATTTGACGTGCTTAGCGCGCCATTCGCGATGAATTTGACGCGGACCTGCGTTGCCGGAGGGTGAGGGGGGGGGGAGACCGAGAAACGTAATGGGCGGTGTCCCTTTTTCATTTCGCTCGGCGGTTGATGTCCCGCCGGCTCTTTTCTACGCGTAATCCACTCGTAACACACGCGCCGTAGTAAAACGAGCCCGCGATACACCTGGCCGTTATAATTAGTTTTCCATTTGTCGAGTTAATCTGGATGGTGCGTGCGACGAGGCAGTCGGGCGGCGGCGAATGAATTCTCCGCTCGACTCGACGTAGCGGCGGCGGCGCTCGCTCGCGTATCGTGCGTTTGTTTTTACACGTCCCGCCGGTTCGCGACTAGATACATATTTTCGCGAAAAACATGCGCATCGAGGGAGAGAAATTCGCCGGCGTTACGCGGCGGCCGCGCATCGACCGCGTATTTTTTGCGCGCGTCGGTCATGCGGTTTACATCCTCACGGAGGTGCAGCGCTCCGCAGCACAGAGCGCGTACCGCCGAGCGGACGCGACAAAATGTTTCGATCAGAGAGAGAGACTCAGGGATCGGTCGCATCCTCGTGCACGCCGCGGCGAGCTTACTGTTGGTTAAATTTTTTTTCCTTCCCTTCCCAAATAACCGGGAAGTAACGCAGCTCTCCGTCGACTAACGGCGCGCGCGCGCGATCTCACGTAGGTTTCCCGATGTACGACGGGAGCGTTCGTGTGTACACGAGATCGTCGACCTCAAGTCGGCAAATCACACCGAATATGATTGGGCCACGTGAATTGTTAATTCTTATTTTTCGCCTGCCGCTCGATATATATGTGTATTCATATCGGCGGCATCATCGTCAGGAAACGCGATAGCCGGGGCGGTTCTCTCGCGAAACCTTACTGGCTCGTTTCCATTTACCGGATCGCGCGCATCGCGCCCACCACCGTTCCGCCGCGCGTTAATGCACCGTATACTTTTTCTCGAACGCGGCCGGCCAATTACGCTTACGGAACGTAACCGCGGGAGAATTCTCTCCGCGCGCAAAGAAAAATAGAATTACGGGAGTTGCGGAAACGCCCGTGCCGCCCGGCGATTTCATCGGGCCGCGTTTTCACTCCCCGTGCACCGGATGCAAGTCGGTCGGTGTGTTTAGCGAAATTCGATGCATGCCCGTATATATGCGCGATTGATGAAAAAACGCGGGAAATTCGATCTAAAATATAGCCGTGAAATTACGACGAAACCATCGCCCCGATTTGGCTTATGATTGGCCAGTACGCGATAAAAAAAAAAGGAAACATTTTTGTATTCGCGTTGAAATCGATCCGTATTAAAATTTTGGTGTTAAATTCTTAACATACTCGTGTGCTAATTTAACATATTACGTTTATGTTACTTCAATATTTTGTATTGAGTCGATACTCAACATGTGTATAAGTGTTAAAATAACACATTTTATACTTCTCTCTTTTCCCTCCTCTCTCTCTCTCTCTCTCAGTTGATATATTATGGATGTTGATTTTTCGTTAATTTTTAACATAATATTTATATTATTTTTTAACATATTCACTTCGTGTTAAATTAATGTGGGAAAACATTTGTATGGAACGTTTGAGATATGTAAAATGTGTAAAATTTAACATAAAATTTTTTACTGTGTGTAGTCGTGCAAGAAGAATACAACCCACAAAATCATAATTTTTGAAATTTTGTTGCCAATGGGTAGCTACCAATCTACACATCTTTCTACATAAAACAAAAGGATCTAAACTTTATGGATGCCTAAAATTAAATAAAAAAGAAAATAGTTTTTATTTTCTACTAGTTGTACCATTTTTTATTAGTTGCGTTTTTTACCTATTTTGTTTAAGAACTAACCAATTTCAGGCTGGGCTGCAAAAATATTGAGATCCATGAGATTCAAGTATTGTTTTAAGGTAATTGAGACCAAAGGAATTCCCAAAATCTAAAATAAAAATTTTCCAACTAGCCGTTTTCCCAGGCAAATAGTCGGAACATTTACTTTGAGTGACACCTGGCATATACCTGATGAATCATATCATAACGGGAATTGTCATTTTCGACGATTTGAACATTTGGCAATAATGTCTCACTATTTTTCAATTTTTTATTTGTTACTATTTTTTTTTTATATATAGTTATAATTAATTAATTAAAAAGGTGAGGCAATCAATTAAAAAGGTGTGTTCTGCGAGGTTATTTTCCATCTTATCTACCGCCGGGGAATTATGGGTGGCAGCCAGGTGAAATTATTTTCTGAAAGGCAAAAGTCCAAGCTATATTTCAGTAACAAGATCTAGGCCAGAATCTACCTTTGTCGTAGATAAAAAATTTTTTGAAGATAAACAAATTTATATTGTTTCTATATAGAAACAGAGAAATGAAATAGATTATACTTGTCAATTAATGCCCTTAAAAAGAAGAAAACGGACCACTGCTTGACTTTTTGAACGATTGCGAAGAACTTCCGTGCTATTTACATTTTTGAAATCATATATCAAACTTTTATCTTCATTTTCCCGGAAACGTACTCTGTGTGAGTTAAATCCTTCTTGCATAACTACGACCAATTAACGGTGGGAATACGGCCGAACGAATTAGCCTATTTATTATGAATCGGCTATCAAGTCGTGTCCTTTGTATTACACGGGTTGGAAAATATCCGTTTCGACGACAACGGCGACTACGTTGACGACTACGAGGGTGAGGACGACGAGATCCGTTTTTTTCCATTTTGTGGAAAAAACGACGCGCAATTTTTCGTTTCAACTAATCTGTCATCTACGCGAACGTACAAAGTGAGATTTCGACGCCGCGCCAGAGACAGACTATTTGTGAAACAACTCGACGGCGCGCTTCGTGTGTGTTTGCGAAAGAAAAAAAATGTGAGGAGGGGGAAGATACGCCAGCGCCAGTTTCAATTTATTACTTAATTTTGCGTTACAAAATGAATTCCTCTTTGTGATGCTAGACGCGTTATTCAGATCCATAGCGGAACGCTGCATGCGAACGCATTCGCATGATCAGCTTGATCTTTTTTCACGTATAACGCGAACTGTTATTTTATACTGTGAATCTCGCGGTTTTTATTCTATTCTATTAAACATATAACCCGTTAAAAAAAACAATGAAATGTACATTTTTGTTACGCGTATGTATATGCATGCATACATCCAACTGCCCGGAATTGTAATTAACGTGGTGAATGTGTGTCAGCCGATACCGAGCAATACCGAGGGTATACGATTGGAATAACAATCTACACATATAAGCGGACATTAATTTGTCTGGTGATTGTAGGTAAAAACGGATAACACGGACGACGATCTTAAAAATTAAAACACAAATCGTCAAATAACGTAATTATCGTTTTTTTTTTAATTTCGTTTATATTTTACACTTCCTCACTGTCCGTCCGCTCGGTCAACATTTGATTATGTGCAAACTTTTAATTTAAAATTTAAATAATTAGCAAAGCTTTGTGTCTATGCAGTGTGAAAAAACTGAAATATTGTTCGCCGTGAAGGCTCGCGAAAGATCCGGCATTTTTTTTTTTAATTGCGCGCGATATTAATGCTTTCACAGCGGGGGAAATTAAAATTTCGCGAAATATCGCGACGCTTCTTACTTCATTTCCCGAGTTAATATTTTTTCGCAAATTAGTCCGTGCGTTTAATAACGAACGAACGACTCTCTTGGGAATGAAAATCCTCGCTTGACGCGGCCGGCGGCTCGCGCCGGGCATAGACGCTTCCGCATTTCGGGCCGTGCCTTTGTGCGTACGCAAATATTGCGATTCTGGGCTAACTCGAATTGAGTAAGCCGCGGTGCAATGAACTGCAAAACACCGAGGGCAATACCTACGATCGATTCGCGGTCGACGTTAATGTTTCTATGCACCGCTGGCTGAGAAGGATGCGGTCGGAAGGGAGGAGAGAGAGAGAGAGAAGGGAGATAGAGAGAAAGGGAGATTCTTCGTACTTAATGGCCCGTGCAGTTATTCTACGTACTTGAACGCGTTCTTAGATCATTTGCGGGGGTGGGAAATAAACCCTGCGCAACTCGGTTCGTTCCTTTATACGTCTCTGAAGCCGACGCGCGAGATACGGGATCTCCGCTCGTCGCTCGTTTGAGGCGGTTTCAAGCCGGTCATTCATCGGCTGCTCGATGCATCGACTCGTGCCGCTTTTACTCGTGCTCGCGAACTCGCTTTCAGGACGGCACCGCCGCTAATCCGGAATATTTTACAGCCGTAATAGCCGAAGTGTCCCTCCCCCCGCTCCTGGTGAGGCAGGCAAAAGGTTCGCGGGAACTTGGCGGGGAGCTTCGAGCTCGCTAACGGGACTCAGCCGTTTGCGCCTATTTATCACTTTTTGCTCGTCCCCGCGAAGACGATATTTGTACCGCTGTAAAACGGCGTATAAGTCCGCAAAAACCTGCACCTCGGGAGACTCGGGGGAACTTTGACGATCCATTCATCAAGCCGCCGGCAGGAGAGAGGTTCGCTTCTGCCGCTTTTGTTAATGAAGTGGCTCGGGGCTACGATAGACTCTGTCGAGGGAACTTGGCGAGTCCGCGGATAAATTCCGAAGTATCCCGGATTAATAATGGCCGCGCGTTCCTAACGTAATCAGCGTGATTTGGATTTCTCTCTCTCTCTCTCTCTTTTTCTTTCTTCCATCCGGCTATCCCCGCTTATAACTAAACACGTCGGTCCGCGGTGACGGTCTTTTTCTTCATTTCGGCCGCGACGATTCAAACGCGTACCGCGATGAATAAATGAAAAAAAGCCCCCGCACATTCAAGACCGCGTTTATCCGGAAATATCGTTCCCTTTTATCCCGACGATTGTTTTTCGATACGAGGACGCAGGTAGATCTCATGCGGAAGTAAAATACGATTTATTTTTTATTAATATCATATATACAAATCATACTCCCCCCGAGCGCGCGCGCATGAAAAACGCGCATATTATTCGCGTTGTAAACGACAACGAATCACGTAAAAATTTGAACGGGGAATCAATAGCGGGCCGCTATTTGAAAAGCTAATATTTATCTTTGGAAATAAACGGAGTTCGGAGACCGTCGGGGACTGTCGCCGGGGCTTATCAGATTTGCAAAATCGCACCACCGGTTTGTCCATCTTCGTCGTGACTTATTTACCGCGGCTCACCGGCTCGCTACGATAAATATATCAAATTTCCTGAAGAAAGCCACTTCAGCTCGCAATTCAGAAGTTATCGGGGAAACAGATGAACGAAATAAAACTTCCCGAGTGACACTTAATTTCTCTTCCTCGGCAGCGAGGAAAAATGAGATCTCGCGCGGCGACTGCAACGTATTCACCTCCGCTTCTTACTTTACGCAAAAATACGACGTCCGCGAGCGCGGCGCTCAACGGTCGGGTCCCCCCTCCTCCCCCCATCTCTCTCTCTCTCTCTCTCTCTGTTATTTTTATTCCTTTTACTTTTTCTCTTTTCGCGAACTCATATTTTAATTATTGCCACGTTAGTCAGCGGAACATAAAATACGAGGCGTAACTGCCTTCGCCGGTCGCGACAAAACTGCGTAATTTCAGAACCGGCCTGTGGGCTTGTAGCGAGCGAGCGCGCTACAACGTTATGTAAATTAAAATGAAGGATTGCAACGTTAATAGCGCGTTTTCCTATTTCCCTCTGCCGCCGCTGCTCCTCTTCCTCCCTCTCTTCCCGCTCCTCTATCTCTTTCCAGGGAAATGTCCGCAATATAATAACGCGCACCATCGGTCTCCTACGCGTTGTACCACCTAAACGCATTAAATTTGTTAAACTTGCAGTGTCGTTTTACGGGGCGAGCTACATCCATCTTCCGGTTCAAGAGGCCAAGGGTGCTACTGACATCAGTTTCCGGTTCCGAACTCATCTCGCCGACGCCATGCTGCTATTGGCCGCTGGCAAGACGGATTACTGCCTGATCAAACTCGAAACCGGCAGATTGAAGGTTCGTTTGCCCCCGGCGCTTACTTCTATTAATAGGCTTTCTGTTTGGTGTCGGTCGTCGCGTCGTTAACGGGCCGCACGTGCTGCGATACGCCTGTCTGTCAGAATTCTCTTTCTCTCTTTCTTTCGCCCCCTGACTCTCTCTCTCTCTCTCTCTCTCTCCGCCCCCCGTTTCTCCCCGTGTCCTTGCGAGAGAAATTAGACGCGCTGCGACATACCGGGGAAAAAAGAGAGCTTCTCGCATGCGCTAAAATATTCCCCCTCGAGGGAAAAGGAGGAGGATTCACCGGGCGCGCAGATGTAACGCTCATGTCCGCGACTCTTATTACTTTGGGATTCTTATTTCCCGGCGAAAAAAGATGGCGCGAGTCCAATGCCGACGACGAGGAGGAGAGAGAGAGAGAGAAGAAAAAGCTATTGCATCCAAGAAAAGATCCTAATCGTCAACGGCGGATCCTTGCGACATCGCGTCGACCCTCAAGGATATATTGCCCGTAAGTCAAAATAATGGGAGAATTGTGAAAAAATTACACATTGACCTACATTGCATTTAAAAGTGCTTTGGCAGGAAAACATAGTTATTTTCAGGGACAACGATATCCTTTTTTTCATTAAAATCACAAAAATTCTGGATCAAAAGTTATTCCATTTTAAAGGGAGTTGTAAGGTGAAATGAGTTTGATAAGAATTCGATGAAACTTACACTGCGCATATAGATTAAAATATTATCAAATATTATCCAACTCATTACTCGTGCAATTAGAAAAAACTGACCATTCAAGAGCTAAGATAATGTAACACCGCACAGAGATTTGTAACACAGAAAAAAGATTTCTTTGGATTTAATATACGTGTTTATTTAACTTATGTTTGGTAGACAACATAATTTAATAATAAATACCATTCTGTTTGAATTAAAATATTATTTCATTAATGTAAATCATATTGTTTGATAGAAAACGAAAAGAGAACGATATTATTTAAAAGAAATATATAATATTTGTTTTTCAATTAAAAAAATGTATTTCATTATATATTAATGTATCAAACACTAATATACAAACTTCAGAATTATTGGCTATTTTGTTTCGAAAATAGCGAAATAGTGAAAGGTTCATAATTTATAATAATATTCGAAGTACACATACATGCACATATTTAAATACATACCTCTTTCTATTTGTGCATCTCTATTAGATCGACTGAAGCTTAAGTACAACATTAATAAGAAATCTAAAAAAATATTAATATTTTCGTATTTGCACATATATTGTGCATATATATGTCAACTTTGTTTCAAATCAACATTTATTATTTAGATAGCGAAATAAATATAGAGAAACGTAATTTCGCTGGAAAAATACTAAATTTATGAGTGGCCCCCTCGATGCGTCAGTGAAAATACGGCATTAATCGGCGATATATCCTTAATCCGCGACGTATCTTGGCCTCTCTCGTGCTCTCCTCGCTCTCTCGTCTTTATGCAATCAATATTATTTACGAGCTCCCGTCTAAATTTAACACGTCGACGCTTATATCGAATATCGTCGCTAGATCGATGACACCCGAACATCCGCGCATTTCGCGAGCGCGCGAAAAGTGTCGGCGGCGATATTTTTATGCTAATGTCGATACCGAGTGTCGACCGAGTGTGTCACGCCTCAGACTGATATTGTAAAAATCTTACGTAGGCGAGGGGCCGTGTGCTGCGGAGGAAGGATCCGATTTAAATTGATTGGTTCGCCGCCGCGAGCGAAATACAGCTAAACCAGCCGCCAAATTCAATCGCCCAGGTGGATTTCGATATCGCGGGTTATCGCATTTCAACCGACATGGCAATCGCGTCTGGAACGCGGCGGGTTGGACGCGGCTCCGTCACTGTACAATCCCATCCGACTAATCGACCGTCGAGCCGTCGGCGACGACGACGACGATGACGACGACGACGATGATAATGATTGCGGAACTATGCCGTGGAATTCGCGCGCGTCGTAAAACGATTTCACGGCGAGTTCATGAACGCGAAGTTCGACGGAACGCCCTTGTTATTTCATTAAATGATCGACCACGTCTCCCCTACACTCTCCCTTCGCCGCCGGTGACGGCTCAACGCAGCGCGTTGACATCGATGACGATCGCTTTACAACGCGCCGAACGAGAACGAGAACAAAACCGCGTAATGTCTTTTCCATCGATGTTTCGCGAAATGAAATTGCGGCGTTACCGCGCGATGGCGGAGTCGACTCTTTTTTCTTCCTCTTTTTTTTTTCTACACACACATACACACACGTCCGGTTTTATTGCGCGTCGATACGGCGCGGTGTTTCGGCGAGGCTGGAACGCCGCCGCGTCGTGCGACGCGCGTTCGTTTTTGCGCATCGGGAGTTTCACGCGATCGGTCAAAACTGTCCAACACGATGAAGTCACTCAGTCGGATTTTACGCAATAATGAGCGTCTCGCGCGTCCCGAAAAAAAAAATATATATATATATATATACATACACGCACGCACACACAGGTGTGATGGAAATTTTTCCTTTTTTCTTCTGCCGTTAAAAAATCGCGCAAGAGTTGCGCACAAACGGTGCAACGGAATTCACACACGGCCTGGTGGTCTCGTTTCCCTTAACGTGCGCCGCCGCTGTCACAGGAAATAATTCTTAATGGGATAATCGTTCGTTGAAAGCGAATCTCGCGTGCGCTGATTTACGGGCGGTAATTAAACGCATCGTGTACACGGTGCATACGAAATGAACGTGAAAGATTCACTCTCGCCAGTGAGCGTAGCCGTAGTCCGCGTTTCGTCTGTGCGCGCGGAACGAAACGGAAAGGGATTTATTATTTCTTGTACTTCCTGCGGCCACGAAGGGCCGTATATTTTTCGACGTTGCCGAGAGAGCGAGAGAGAGAGCGAGCGAGAGAGAGAGAGAGAGAGAGAGAGCGAGCGAGCGAGAGAGAGAGAGAGAGAGAGAGAATCGCAAAGACCAACTGCGGATCGCAGAAAACACGTTGGACACGTATCGCATTACGTCGAAATTCCATTTCATGCGTCCTGCTCGCGCGGAACGTCAAAAATTGGAATTCAGATTGAATACATATGGAATACACGGAGCCGTGTGTGATCGATATCAACGTGCCATTGCGGTGAGCGCGTCAAGACCACGACGGAGATAAGCAAAACGAGAAGAAAGGGAGGGGGCGGAGGGGAGAAGGAAGAGTGAGAAAGAGAGAAAGCGTTATATTAAACATGTACGCACCCCGAGTGGCACAGCGTCCATAAACAAGTTTCACGGCCCTTAATGAGAAGAACGCTGACAGCGATAGAGCTCTCACCACAGTAGCCATCCTGTCTCTTGATAATAACCGCTGATGAGAGCCGCGCTGCTTCTAATTATGTACAAAGAACGTTGCGCTGCAACGAAGTTACAACTTCGCGCTGGGGATTATTAATTTTCCAACGATTAATATTCCCGCGCGTACTCTCATATTCTACACGACTCATTATCGCCCCGCCCCTCCGGCTCCCCCTTCGAATGAAACGTGCTTAGCGCCCTAACTGAGCTACAACTCTTGCAATTGCGAGAGATACGAGAAAGGGTGAGAGAGAGAGAGAGAGAGAGAGTAGCGCTCGGGCTACTCACCCGCGTTGTGACGTTGGCGCGCGCGAATATTATTTTCCGCGACGGGCGGCAATCGGAATAATCAGTTTTCTGGCGGACTATACGTGCTAAACCCGCATGCTTTATTGTTATAACGTAACAATTACCCCGAGGTACAGTCTGATACACTATCTCTCTTTCTCGTTCTCGCACTCCAATCACGAAATTTTCATCAATCTCGCGGCGTGCCGGCGCGGCCCGCCTTTTACAACTTTCATTCCCTCCAAAGCCGTCTTAACCTTGAGATAGAAGCTCGCTCGCTCGCTGGCGGTACGTATCCCGATGCAGTATTAAAACACCCTCCGAAGCTGAGTGCATTAGCCGCGCGCGCGCCCAAACGGTGCTCCTCCGTTGCTCGCATGAATCCCGGCGTGAAAACCGCGCGAATCTAATTTCGCCAAGGGTTAAGTCCGTGCGGCGCGAAGAAGCCGCCGCCGTCGCCGTCGGGCGGCTTAATTAAATTTGTTAAGAAGATCGTTAAGGTGGATGAAGGCAGGATAAACGGCCGGGGCAAAAAGTGCAACGGCAGTTTCTCTACGATCTATCTCTCTCTCTCTCTCTCTCGCACGCGCGCGCGCGACCACGGAGCCTCGACTTGCGCGCGCGCGCGCGCGTGCTCGACGCCTCCGGAGGCTTAAAAGCCCCTCTATCCGGCGATAATCCGACGATTCAGAGCTTAATTGGGCCGATATATCGCGGTATCGCTCGCTTTCCAGCTGGCGATGTAGTCTTCGAGCAGGCGTTCTCATGTACTATTCAGGATCTCGAAAGCTCTCCTTTTGTGCGCACCTCGGCGTGTATTTTTAATTAAATTCATTCCGTACACTTTCATCCAGCTTATTCCCACGGCAGCCTTTGATCCCCGTCTTCACGGTTATCGCGATATAAAAATTGCGTGGCGGATTACCCTGACTCGCGTCGAAATTTGAATATTTGCACGTTGCGCATATCCGCCGTCACGCCGGATAGAACGTGAGTTTTACCGTTTAAGCGTGTTTAATAAGCCGCAAGCGCCGGTGGAACGTAATGGGGAACCGGGGTATGTTAAGAATATGATAGCGGCAGGTTAATATAATGGACCATAATGCCCATGTAATTAGAGTAAAAGAGTCTTATTGTACTTTTTCCTCTTCGTTAAGGGGAGCCCGTAATCCCAGTAATTATGAGGCATCGTTATTAGCGGGGGCGCGCGACATTTTTCCCAGATAGACATCTCATCGCGTTGTGTAAACCCGCGTTTAAATAGTAACGAGTAAACACGTCTATCGCGCGAGCTAACGGAGAGAGTATGGGGGCAGCAAAAGCACGCTCCCCGCTTCGCTCGCACATCACCGAGACGATCGCGTCTCAAGCGCGCAAAACGCTCGTTAAGCTTAAGCCCCCCGTTAATCCGATGAACGAATCGAATCTTAATTATTTTCGCGTGCCGCGATATTGCTCACTTTTCAACGCGCGCCGCCCCCGTTATTCGTCGAACTCTGACGGAAATAGGAAAAATTCTCGTGTCGGCGACAGGTGATAATCGGCAGATCGCTTTTGCCCGCGATCGCGGCGTATCTCGCGGCGGATCTGTATTCCGCGGTGAAAGCCGGGAATATCGGTATCAACAATGACGGCGCGGCCGCAAGCCTGTCGCTGGGCCCGACGTGCCGCGGATAATCCGGCAATTCCACGCCGACGGCGGGAATGCACCGACGGCGGCTCCCGATATTGTTCACTTTCCAATCGTCGATGCATTCATAATGCGGCCGAGCCGGGAGCTCTCTCTCTCCCTCTCTCTCTCACTCGCCCACTCGCTCGCTCGCTATACGATTGTGTATAGAGGCGCGTTTACATTCTGCAAAGTGTCGCTTCTCGCGCGCTTATACATATTAATAGGTGCTGCATAGTCATCCGGCATTGCCCGACCGACTAGCGACCGGCCTGTGCTTGCAGGTCGCGAAAGCTCGTGCGCCTTTATTACCGGGTCGATCGTAAAACCGGTGGGTCGAGTCGCGTCGCACCACCGCCGAAAACGTCGATGCGCTGGCGGTCGGAGCTGGCGATGCTGCACTGCCACTGGCCGAGAGAGAGAGAGAGAGGGGGAGAGAGAAAGCTTCAGTCTCGGACGATCGACTTTTCATTAAGAGGGAACCGCGCGCCACGGACGCGCTCGATCTCTTTATGTAGGATCAACGAAGACCGCCCCGGAGGAGCACGGCGTCGCCGCAGCGAGACGCTATAAGTCTCGGACCAGCTCGATCCAGGTCGCGATTAAAGCCTCTTTATCGGAACTTACCTCACCTCCCCTTCCCACCCCCTAGCCTGAAGCGCATCGTGTACCGTCCGGTAACTCGATAATGCATTACACCGCGTCGTGACACAGAGCGCGTTTAAATGGTCAGACCACGTGAAGTGTTCCAAGGATGTTGACCCATAGTTGCTTCCGCCTTACCTCTCTCTCTCTCTCTCTCTATTTTATGTTCCCGATGAAAAATTTGTTCATCGCAGTTTCCGGTGCTATATCTCCCTCGCCCAGATTCGAATCGATTGATAGGAGAGACCGGGGCAGGTTTGGGGATTTTTCAGAATTTCGGTGTTGAAACTTTTCGGACAACTAATTGTTGTGATCGACTCAACAACTTTTTTCTCTGTTCTTGCGCTACGAAAGATCCTGCATAATCCGTATAATTTCGCCTATAATGACCGAAGTATGAATATAGAGCATTTATGCGAACGTGCCTCCGAGAGTATCGGAGTAGGTCCGAAAGTGGCCTGGAGCAGTTAGCATTATATACTATGATTATGTACAGAAATATATATATACGTTTAAAGCTATTTAATATTAAATGAGGAGTTATTCGTTAACACATTTTCGACGGCCGGAAATGGATATAGTGAATTTGGTCCTTTTTTAATTAAATCATTCACCGCTTATCAAAATATAATCTCTAAAGCTTTGTCTAATACAAACAATTTATCTGTGTCTACAACAAAACTGGCAACAATTCTAGTGTTCATTACATGAATTAATCGACGAATAACAGCTATCATATTGTAGTCACTTGTACGTTACACCATTCTGAACAAAAAAAGTAACACGCAAATTTGTGAGTTATCAATTAAAGGAACCTCCAAACATGGCCACTATCAATAATTAATAACTCGAAATTTTGCGCGTTGTTATTTGCAAAATGGTAAACGACTTTTTCGCTCACATTGAACTAAATTACAGATATGGCACGCGGCTTGCGTCGGACACCTTGTATGAAATGAAACGCTTCACCGACCTGCCTTTCATTCAAACCTGCCCCGATCCCCCGTATTTTCGGCGTCCCAAATGGGATCCGAGTCCGATGGCCGACCGGTAAATCGTTAGCGCGTGACAAATCCCGCGACAATGTCTCGCAATTGGTGACAATGCTCGCGCGGGACGTTAAGAATTCGCAAACAAACGCGCCTATGTACAATGCGTGTTAATCGGTTAAACATTTACAATAGCCGGCGTCACGCGGTTGATTTAGGTGACTTCCGCGGATCTAAATATGTGCGGGGAGTTTGGAATTTATTCCCCGGTGGGTGTATCGTAAATCCGGCATGCGTAACTAGCGAATCCCCGGCGGCGCGATTACAAAGTAACCCGCCGCGGTAACCGCTGCTGCGCGACGTTTTGAGGAAATAACGATGCGCCGGTGTGTGCACGCGGCATTCTCGCGCGCGTATATATACGAACACGTAACAATCGCGTGAATCGTGAATGAGCCAACGGGCGGGCAAGCAAGAGGCCTCGGTAAAACTACATGACCGTCACTCACCGTCGCGTTCCTTCCGTCAGGAAGAGAATCAGCCGAGCACGGCCGGGGGACGCGCAGGTTATCGGCGTGGTTCGACATTTATTTTTCGCGCTAGACTGAAAGCCGTTTTCACTGTCTGTCTGGCTGTCCGCCTTCTTCATTCTCTCGGCGTGCAAACTCATTGTGCGAGTGCCTCAAGTGCAGACGGAATACACGAAACCTCGAGCTGTCGGATTCCTGTCAGCTCACGATGTCGGAGAATTCGCGGGGCGCATGACTGGCGCCAGTTGCAACCTCGCGCGCACCACACCGATGTTGATACTATCTCCTTTGCGACCTAGCCTTTTTTGCGGTTCTATATCTGTTTCTCGATGCACGCCCGGGAGAACGGGAGAATCGAATGCTTCCATCGAAATGTCGAACTCGGCCTTCGCCGTCGGGATAAAATTAAATTTCCGTGTCAAAACATCCGTTCGTGACGGCACTAAGAATCGGGAAGGACGACACGTCCTTATTTCGGGACGATTGTCTCATTTCTAAAAATGTTTCCGCCGTCGCTACACACGCGCCCAACACACGAAACTTTCCCATACTTTCATCCAATTTTGGATTTCTTCTCCTCTCTTGCGTTCTCGCTCGCGATATAACGATTTCACGGCAAGCGTGAAATTTCCTTGACGACACCATCAAGACTGCGAAAGGACATGTATGCCTTACAATGTTACGCTTCTCTCGCGGTTTCCACGAGCTGTCGGTTACTTCGCTCGCCCGTATTCATTAAATCTTTCAAAAGTACGCGCGCACGCAACTCCCGCTCACTGTTCGCCGGTAAAAACTCTTTACGCGTTTCCATAATATTTTTTTATGCGTCGCGCGGCGCCGGCGCGGAAGTGTGTAAAGTACACCGGGTCTACGGCCGGAAACCGAAGCTCTATTTCGAGGAGGAACGAGACCGATCCCTCTCTCTCTCGAAAACCAAAAGAGGGGTAAAAACGGCAGAAAAAAAGTACAAAGAGAAACGAAAAAAAGGGTGAAGAAGAGGGGGAAACGGCGGCCAAGAAAAAAACAAAAATGCATTTGTACCGCGCGCGCGTGTGTACGTATAAAACCCATTTGCGGTAGCGGCACGTCCGCAACTCCGGCAAAAATGAGACTGACTTTTACGAGCGCCGCTTCTACGCTTTTTTGCCGCAGGTTCACATTAATCTGGGCGCGGGCGAGAACGAGATGGCGAGCGCCCGCGGATTGACACTGAACGACCTCAGTTGGCACGAGGTCAATTTGACGAGACGCGAGGCGAACGTCACCCTGCAGATCGACGTGATACACATAGAGAGGTCCCACCTACCCGGTCGCTACTTCGAGCTCAACATACAGTACGGGGTCTTTATCGGCGGACAAGGCGACTTCAACGAGCTATTTCTAGGTAAGAGACGACGAGAGACGAGCGGGGGCAGGCTCATCCGGATAAATTGCTCGCCACGTGACTGAACTAGATTCGATACGCGGCGCGATGCCGCAAAAACCACGTTCGTTGACGTTGCATCGCCGAACGGTCACGACCATCCTTCTCTCCCTTCTTTTGCCTGGCGCCTCTTCTCTCTCTCTCTCTCCTACCTACCTACCTACCTCCTTTTCGTTTAATTTCGTTAAATGGCAATCCGACGACGGAGAGATCGGATAATAGGGGGCTAAGAGGCGCGCTTAATAAATAATTAACGTCGAGTTCATGCACGCTTGAGCACGCCGGTCGAAATCGCTCGGATTAGAGTCGGCGGCGGGATGTTCTTTGTAACTGTCGTTAGAGACCCTTATATATATATAGTATTCCCGGCGAATTGCAAGGAGGAAAATCGCGAACTTCGTTAGTTATGCAATAAACGGGGCCGCGTACGTACGGCGATAAAGTCGTGAGCGCGTCGCTCTATCGCCCGAATATTATGGCTGTGCACTATGTGAAATAATTTGCCGAAGTAACAGAGCGGAACGTTAGGTGTGGCCGCAGCAAACGATTTTTCATCTCGTCCTCTTTTACCCCCGGATTGCTTTTGGCAAAATTCAACGAAGTTTAAACAATTTAGCGTTCGCATTACGTCATTTCCCGCGATATCCGCCGTTGCTCTAAAGTGCATTTGTAAATAAAACAAATAAAATTATCACATCGGCCGGCACCGGAAAAATCGAATTTCGTAAAGAGCATACGAGATGATACGATATTAATTATTAATAATTGTTTGTTCGACGAAATTGATACGGCGCGTGAGAAAATTAAATTTAATGTGCCATAACGCGAGGGTGTTGCGGTAAAAAGCGTCGACTATACAACGGTTCGGTTTCTTTGATTCTTTAAAAGTCGATTCAACGACTCGCGATGTGTGTAATAAGAGTAAATACAGACGAAAGCTGACGCACGCTTAAATCCACTTTGGACGATTTATAATTCACGGCGGTACCTATATTTGATTAACGGTTAATATTAGATTAAACACGATCGAAACGTTCAGTAATAATTCGATATCTCCTTACTTTTTTTTTTCTGACCGCGCGACATTCACATTTAATAAATTCCGGTAAAAAGTAAAAAGACCAGCGCCAACGCCACGCGTTATACATGTAACATAAATAATTTCAATTTAATGGCGAGGCGCCACACAAATTCCGTGCATTATTCGCGTGATATAATTAATTAGTATTTCATGATTAATTTATTAAATTAACAAAACAATACGTAATTATTAAAATCCGGACTAAATGCAGTGTATATTGTGTGCAAATTTTTATATATATACTCGATATATGCTGTGCAAAAATCACCGGCGAATGAAATAGTAATACGAAAAAGATTTAACGCATACAAAATGTTGATTATCTCTCGAGGTTGCATTATGTTCAGGTCCATTCGCGACAACGATATTACGACCGAGAATTGCGTCGCCTAACGCGAAACGATAATACTCCATCGAGACGTTTGGCAGGTTTTAGTAATTCCACGAGATGGAATGAAGACGGTATATATAAAAAATAGGAGAAACTCGGAGGAACGTCGTATTTCTTGAGAGTGAAACTTAAGACCGTAACATTTAAGATTCAGGAATTGCGAGAGAAATTGTAGTAGGAGTCGAAATAAAGGAATCTGGCATTGTTGATAAAGAATTACGTCAAACAGCTTGTAAACGAGAGTTTACGCTTTTAAAACGATTAAAGTAAGAAACAGCACAAAAGTCCGAATGTGCCGGAATTAATTTGACATTTCTTCATATGTGTGTGTACTTCATATGTTTTTTTCTTATTTTACATGCGTTTTCCGCGGTATTACGTTTAGAAATAATGTTTTCAATAGACGAGGTAGTTTTCAACGAAAGAGCTTTTGATGTGTTTCATACATATATATTTTCTCGAAATACTAAGGAATTTTTCTCGCGGATCTTCCCTCGCTCCCGGGTGCTCCCGACGCTCTCTTTGGTGCAATCATATTAATGGAAGATCGACGAATACAGAAAGCGCTATATTCAACATGAAACACCGCGTCGCGGTGGAGAGGCGGAACTAATAAAATGGTGATAATAAATTAGCGCAAACGGAGAATCAATAAGTGAATGTGAATGGGCATAAGTGATCTCAATTATTCGTGACCCTAGTTTATAATTATCTCTCTCGTACATATTTACGCCAGTGCACGAGTTCATTACCCTCCGTGGACAAATCGTTAATTGCAACATAGGAAATCTCGTGCGAATTTGATATGCCATTAAAAATGTATCGCGCATGTATTTTCTGGACGATCGCCGCGGATGATAACGACGAATTAATTGTTTGCCGTCGCGCCGGGTCGTGACGAAGAGCGAAAACAGGTGATTACAACGGCACAGTGGCCGATATTATTATATCGAAAGTATAATATACACTGTCTCGCGTTTCCGCGTTGGCGAAGGGCTTAAATAATGGAGCGCCGGCAGCACGAGTTGTGCAAAATCGCACGAACCGGGATGTAATTCAAACATTTGCCTTTGTTTTCGTTGTGTGGACGCTACGTGCAACGAGACTCGTCTCTCTCGTGCACAAGTAACGGCGATAATTACAGTTCGATGTACGCCGCACGATCGGCACTTCATCAATGCCTCCTCCTCCCTTCCCCGGTGTACCTTCGTCTAACTGTAAAATATTTCGTCAAGCAAGACGCGCGAGCGCACGCCGATCGCATTTATAATCTCGTTACCGAGGCTAATTTCATTACCGTGCCCGATTCTATTTGCGCGGCGAGAATGAATTGAAAATCGCGATACGTCTCTCCCGTGAGATACGGCGATCGGAAAATTCTCCTTCCGCCTCTGCCGTTACAACGTTTCCGCCGTTGGCTACGCTTTTGCGGCGAAATTCCGGATTATACGTTCTTCCGCTTCACGGTATATAACCCGCCGCGGTCATAGAACACCACGTAGTACGGACGACCAAGAAAAGGCGGGAATATCCTTTCTATTTTCAGCTCGTCGCAATTTGCACGGAAATCTCACACAGGAAGAACAGGGCGTGCTATTACTTCCCGAATGCATTTTTCGAAGACAATACAGTCGCGGAATGTACCGGCGAAAACACACACGTTGTACGAGCCGAATAAGTCGGAGACAATCAAAATGAATTAGAATAAGGAATTGCGTCGGTAGTTTCGCCGAAGGGGCGCGAAGGTGACATCTCGTGAAGGGAACGCGCACGAGGAAACTCATAAACGCGAGAATCCGCGAGAAAGCGGAGGGGGGAGTAGAAATTGAAGAATTCACAGAGTGTAATCTGCATTTGTAACGCGGGTAATCTCGGCATTGCGTTTACGATTTCCTGTACGACTTGGACGTCAGAGTTACCTGGCCGTTACGCCGCGCGCTCTACACGCACACGCTCGATAACGGCCGGGTTCTTTCATGCTGACTCGCACGGCCGCGCATCAGCCGCAGCGACCGATAATCATTTCTGCCGCGAGATAAAAGGTCCTTCCGTTCGAATTGGCGCGCGGGGGCGAAATTGAATACGATCGGCACAAACAGCATCGTTCTCTGGCTCGTCTCTCTCCCTCCTCCTCTCCCCCCGCTCTATCTCTGTCATTCTTCTCCACCCTCCTTCTCGTCCTCTCTCTTTCTCTCTCTTGCGGACGCGCCCCCATCGTTACCCCGTCGACCGTCACGCATAACACTCGGCGACCAGCTCGAAATTCAATTTACATATTCATGACAATTCATTTGTACCCCATGGCACGGTGTGACCTACCCCTCGGAGAGAAGATCTTATTAATTCTCCGGCGTGGGCCTCGCTAAATTCTCGAGTCGAGGAATAAAGAAAGGGAATCATCCTCCCCCCTCACCCTCCCTGACACTCGGAGGGTTGCGAAACTCGTTTTCGGTTGGGGTTCGTATACGATTATGTACGGTGCGCCTCGGAAAACGGTGTCAACCGGTTGCTGAGTCGCGAGATTTTTGACGAAGTTCACGGTCGGGTTTTTCGCGGAAAGTTCAACTCTTGGCCACGCAGCCGAGTGGAAATTATGCTTCTACGTTAACCCTGCATATTCTGTCGAACTTGAAGGACCGATGGAAAATGTCGAGATACCGTATGTTTAATAAGAGCGTGGCAGATATAGCTTTTAAACTATTTATTATAAAAAAGTGAAGAAAGAATTGCATATGTACTACACAATCAATACCACAACGCTTTTGTATTATCGTCCAATTATCACCGTTGTTAATTATTGCTTGACACCCTCCAGGCGTACTTTCTATCAATTTTATAACATATTTTCAAAATAATGATCGCCATATTGAACGAATCTGTTTCATCGTGTGCACTTTTTTCCACGCAACTTTATCTTCGTTAATGTTCAGACATTTTCAATAAGATTTACGTCTGATGACTGTGATGGCCAGATCTAGTGTGTTTCGATGTTATTTTTTTCTTTTCATTAGGAGCAAAGACGGCTCCAATGTTTTGGGTCGTTGCCTTCTTGAAAAGATCCAATCCTGACCTTTACTTTGAAACCACTTTTTTCGGCAGATGGTATTAATGGTAAGTTTCGACCATCTTCTTAGCATTCAAATTCTCCGTAGGGTAGACCAAGGCGAATTGAATCACAGGGAGAATTGGGTCAACATAAGTTTTGAGACAGTTGTTAGGTTTTTTGTTTAAAACGAGCCGTTTTATCATGCCAGTTAGTTTCGTGCGCCTCCTCCGAACTGACTTGAAACATGAAACTAACGACAGCACTCCAAATCCAAGTGTATCATTTTAGCTGAAGCTTTTCTTGTATATTTCTTGCTGTTTTAAATCTCACGTCCTTTAATACGATTGGACATGTTAACTTATAATTGAATACGATTAAACGTCCTTAATCACGTGAAAACAACAAGAAACATGTTAAAAGAGCTTCAGTCAAATATGTCATTCTTAGACGTTTATGCATCCAAAGATAACAATAACTTGGATTTCCAGTGAACTGTTTCAAAGCTCATATTGATCCGATTTGCCTCGGTCTGCTTTACACCCCGGTACTCATCATTAAATATATCGTTCTTTAACGAAAGTCGAACAATGACCGGGACTCTCTGTATAATGCGTCATTAAAGAAAAGTCCCTTCTACCTGCTCGTTTTAAAGTTTTTGATATAACCGTTTTCAAACAAAAGTTTGCCCGGTCACGCTCTTATTAAACAGACTGCATAACATTGTACAGGCTTAACGTTGCCCTACTTCGATAGCTTCATCCTTTTAGACATATTTTAACCACATCTCAGAAATTACGCGTTACCCAGTTTCTTGTACTGTCATCGTTTGATTATGTAAATGATGTTAATGTTTCGTGTATTATATGTATAATTATAATTTTTATATAACTATATATAACTGATTTATCTCTTAATTTTAATTTCCGATGTATTGATGATTAAACGTCGAGTTAAGTTTCTGTTAAAGTGTAATTCGTTTGAGATTAATCCGGGGATAATCTCTCTAGTTACGTAACCACAATTTCAAAGTTTAATTTACATACTTAACTCTTGATATAAATACTGAACGCAAGTTTCGAATAAGACGTTGCTTCTACCGTGCGGATTTCAGAACACTGTGTATAACACATGTACGTGTATGTGTGTGTGTTATATCAGCTGTCTTTGTGTAGGTGAGCGTGTACGTACACTTTCGAAACCGTACAATACGAGAACACCTATACAGCCGATCGCAAGATTCCCGTCGTGAATTTCGCTTATCGACCGCCATTTCCTCGGCTTCGTGAAAATATAGAGAATATTCTCGCCGCGCAACGTATATATTTGATCTCAGCACGAGGAATCAATAAAAATATATACATTCCGACGTGCCAATATCGAAATCCTAATATCTATCCGAAAGGAGCTTCCTTCCCCGTCGTTATTTCGCAAATATAAATCAAAATCCCCGATGTCGTCGCATCGTGAGAATTATTTGTGTTATCGTTGTCACGCTCTATATATCGCATTTCGTTGCGGTTGCTTTTTCCCGAGATATCTCGACGTATACAGAAGCTCGTGATTATTCGATTGAAACAATTTTTTTTCTCTACTATAGGTACGTACAGTCGGCGTCATGTATATACTGTACTATTTCCTAGACAGAGAGTTACACAATTTTCAGCTTTATACATAACACGTAAGGTTGAAAATTGTAGGAACAACTCTAGTCATAATGTGGTAAAGTTACAATGATTCTAATTATAATAGTGTCAACCTTCCGTGTACATGTGAATTAACAATTGTTTAACAGTGAAATGTTTTAATCCAGCCAATTTTACCCACCACTTGGTAATGTTGGTACTCATTTTTTTAACTCACCGAAACAAGAAGAACTCAGTCTCGACGACATAACAGGTCTGAAACAAAAAAGACAATTTCAGCGATTAGATACAAGTGAAACTGTCCGTATCGTAACATTAGCATTATACATTACTTTATAGCACGAGGGTAAATTAACAATTATCCGTATATAAGAAAATTTATTTTCCAACTTTCATATTTCGGCAAAACCAGATAAAAACAGACAAACCCGGAGAACCGTTCGGAAAACCGGACAGGTGGCACAGCGTTAATTCCACGCAAAAGACAGACGTCAAAATGTCTCGCACAAAGGAAAAACGACCCTCATTTGTCGCGCGACGGTGTAATTTGGCAAAACGCTCGCCAAAACCAACGCGGCTAATTTGCGTGACCGCGAAGATATCGCCGGCGTTATTCAAGCGAATCTATCTTCCGCCAACGTCTATCCGTGTCGGGCGAAACATCGGCCGGGCGTTTAGACACGCGTAAACAGTTGGTCGAGCCTCGCTGTTGCGCACGCGCGACTGGCCGTGCGCCAAAACGTCTTACAATCGATGGAACTTTGCATTATGTAAAAAGCTAAAAGTGAGATAGCCTTTGTTGCGAGGAGTGCACGAACGGTGCGCCGCAACTATGCTGTAAACTGGCTGGTTGGCTGGCTGGTTGGTTTAATGCCGCTATGGCATTCCGTCGGAAACTGTCTTCGCGATTCCGCGGCGTGCCAGTAAACGCCCATCTCGGACCGCTTACGTACACACATCTCGTCTCGACGCTTGTCGCGCGCGCCGAGCCGTTGTCGTCTTACATCTATCGGCATGCGGCAGCTCGAGGGTAATCCACCAAACCCACCACCGCGCGCGAGATGCGCTTGTCACACGAAGACAATCAACCCGGGCGCTGCTGCCAGCCCGCCCGCGGCGAGAAACCGCCAGTTTCGCCGAATCCGTCGCGTCGCTCGTAAATATCGAGTATATCTTGCGACGTGTATATTACGGTAAATAAATAAATATATATATATGTTACGCGCTTCACCGTGCGTCGTCACGCCGCCGGAATGTATAAAGTTCTGCGGTGCGAAATTGAATCTTGGAGGAATGGCGCTTCGGCGGACCGCGCGATTAAGTAAAATTGAAGCGTGAGAAAATTGAAAGCGGACTCGTTCCCTCACCGACGAGGGTCTAACCCGACTAATCGGAGGAACGAAAAGGACGACAAAGCGGACTCGTCTGCTTGTTGCGGGAAATCCGAAACATTCGAAACCCCCCCCTTCGATTCGCTGTCGTGATCGCACCCGATTATATTTCCGCGTGGCGTTTCAAGTGGCGCGAATCGATAACGACCTCATTAGTGTAATGTAATGTTAAATGGACACCTGCACCTGCGAGGCTCATCTGTAAAACGCGAGCAAATTTCGCGATACTCGTTCGTAATACACCGGCGTCGCGCGACCCTTCCGCGAGGGGTGGGGATCTCGCGCTCGTTAAGCGTATCGACGCGGCGATACGAGCGGCGTAACTAATTCCTCGGACTTGCGTTTGATTCGCAGGGCACACGGATTACCTGAGGGGATGCATGGCCGACATAATCTACAACGGCGCCAAAGTTATAGAATACGCCAGGTCGAGGAAAGGTCAGTCGGAGGCAACAGCCGTAACGTGGGGCTGCTCGCCGGAATTCGACGCCACGAGGAGCACGGAAGTCAGCTTCGTCGAGGACGGAGCGTTCGTCGCTATTCCGCGCCCCATCCCGCGCTCCGGTTCGAGGTATACATATACCAAAAGTGCCTCTTTCCGTTGTAACATATACGCTTCCATTTACCATCGTTGCCCCTACGAGACCGTAGAAAACGCAATTAAACTGTCGCGTTGCAGCCGTATCGACTGCATTACCGCGTATGGTATATATATATATATATATATATATATATATATATATATATATATGTCTGTGTATATATATATGTACATACGTACACATATATAGAGTGTTTCATAATATGTAGGCATAATTTGAAACACAGAAATTCAAGATACAAGAAAAAGACACAAAAAGTTCACAAAAACATTTATTCTACCTGATTTTGCTTCCGAGTCATAGACGTTTTCGTACTTCACTCATTCTTGTTGGGTTTGTTAACTCGGTTAAGTCAGCAAACTTAAGTCCACCGATATTTTTACACGTAAGGTCACTTAAAATCTATGATTAACAATAGATTCCCCTTATAATAAGAGTCTACACACCGCTCTGAACGCCATGTTCTGTCTATAAACCGGCTCAAGGTGTTTGATAACTTTGAAAATTTCCTTCAGATAGAAATGTGTGAAGACACTACGCCAGCTCAGTTTGCAACGAGAATTAGTGAAACACGAAAACGTCTGTGACTCGGAAACGAGGTCAGATAGGACAAATGTTCGTGCGAACTTTTCGCGTTACTTTCGTGAATCTATTCCCGACATTATGTGTCTACATGTTATGAAACACTCTGTATATGCGCGTACATATATCGACTGCGTGTATCGGCACAGCACGACGCTTTTGTCCCGCTGTGAGCTTTTGCTTATGTCGAACCCGCGAAATTACGTAATTAATATTTTCGACGTGTTGGTAACTTAGCTTTGAGCTTCACGTGGCGAAATGCGCGACGCAAACTTTGCAAAAGCAATTTCGCAGTTTCGCCGCACACGACGAAACGAACGCTCAACCTCTCCGGCTCGACATTCGGTCGTGTCCGTGTTTTTTTTTTCACCTTTCTCGCCGTCAGGCTTATAAGCGAGCGTATGCCGGTTTCGGGTCCCTCCCATCGCGCGATACCGCCGCGAAAACGCAAAATAAATACGTCGGTTCACGAATCCAATATCTTATGGTAATGCCGCGGGAAATCCGTTTCACTCGGGTTCGAGGCGGGGGTCGTCGCATAACTCGCATACCCTTGCGCGTGGCTGTATATCTACATCGCCCGCCGCATTCAAGCCATCGGTCAAGGGAAAGCCTTTCATGTTACTCGACTCCTACCACTTTCATCTCCCGCGCTGCTTTTAACGACCGAGTCCCGCGGGAACGTTGTTAAACCGTCTCGAAAAGCACAGGAAACAACTGTTTCAATCGCGCTCACGACACCGTCGATGTTAATTCTCGAGCAAGCGAGAAGCGCTGGACACGACGCCTTCGTCAATGGGAACAACTCGCGATCCCTCTCTTCTCAGGCGCGGCACAAGGATCGCGCGCGATACGCAGACGGGGACGGTCGATTGACTCGAAAGCTCATAACGATGAAGCTACTTACTACGCCAGCGCTCATTTGCGGAATTAATACTATTCGCGCGACGCTCTCTCGCGGATTCTGTCTCTTCGGATTGGCGAATATAAAATATCGCAAAAATAAGCGCGAACGGGACACACTTTACTGGGTCACCTTGAACGCCTGAAAAAGTAGTCGATATTGGAAGTTAGATTAAAGGCCGTATGTTAATCAGAGAAAAATAAGCTTTATTATTATCTTATTATTATTAACAAAGCAAATGATTAAAGTAAAAGAACGACAGCCAAAAGATGGATTGGTGCTCCTTGCATCCTATTGCTGAGATGTCTGTGTAAAATCTTAACAAAATCAGTCAAGTAATTTTCGACGAATCGTCGTCACCGACCCTAAAAATCTAATTTAGAGAAAAACACGTTTAAAATTCTCAGAATGTTTTTCATTCTAAAAATATCTCACCTGCAATCTGCAATTCTAGAGTCTTCATGTAACAAGCCTTCCGTATCTTCGCCACCGTCTTCTCTGCTCCTCTTTGAGATATTTGTTTTTTGTCGAGCTTCTTTTGATGACTCAAACGCCCGAGCGCCTGCAATCTTCACGCTTCCCTATCTAGTTCTTCGCATGTATCGAAACAAATCCATCCGGTTATTAATCCCACAGTTTGCATTATTGGTAAAATATTATTCCAAACTCAATTTTTCTGCGATAAAGTTTATAATATTCTTAGAAAGAATCCTTCTTCCTTCGCGTAAATGACAATGAGCTTTTCTAATACTTGATGATGAGTATATTTTAATACTATACCAAAAAAAAAAAAATTCTTTACTCAAGATAATTGCGCAAGAGAAGAAAAATAAGCCGAGTAATTGCTTTTCTTCGCAGTGCAAATAATATTTCTTTCTGTGCGGATACATCTATTTATTAGTACGATTTATTTCCACTTGGAATGCTCGTCCGATTCTCCGTGGGATCGCGGATGTTATTCTCAGGGTTATCGCGCTGTTCCTCGATTACCCAGCGACCACACAGACCACACTTATCTCCAGTGATCCATGACGTCACCGTCTTCCCTCGGGGCGGTGATCTCCGCGAATCCTCATGACGCTTCGTTTACACGAACAAAATCCTAAGCACGAGGAGGAGGCGAGGAAAAATTCGGTCTCCCGGTCGGAGACGCGCCGCTCTCGGCACTGTCCTTGTTTGAGAATTATTCGCGACGGTGCACCAAAGCGGCGGAAAAACGCTTCATTTTCACACGAATAGACGGCGCACACTGGGTTAGCGCGGTTAATGCCGGCTTTCGCGCATATGTACAGGTGGTTAAGTCCCGGTTGCGGCGCCCGGTTTACCGTGTCTTGTAGGATCGCGGAAACACCGCAGGTGCCTCCGTTGCTCTTTTGTATGTTGCACACCGAATTAAAAGCGCACCTACCAGTCCCGCGGTGCCTTAATTCAACACTTATCTGGGAAAATATATGTTAGGACCTGTTGCATTAATGCGGCCAAAAACGGGACAAAGGACACAAAGGACAGAGAGGGGTTCCTCATTGCGTTTCGTGCAAATATTTGAACGAACGCGCGACGTACGTCATCTAACCGGACGGCCGGCGCGCATCTCGTCGATGAATGAATAAGCAGTAGTCGGGCGGATGACTGGACAGTCGTGACTGTCTTCCTTCCGCGATGTGCTGCATGCGAAGCCGATGAACCGTGAGAATTCCGACGTGCGCTCTCTGAATTCAATTGATCCGGAAGATTCGAGAGTAACGTGTATGCGCGCCCCGATACAGACGCTCGGGCTATCTCCATTGCGCGCCGGCTGCAATTTCTGCTCATCGTTTAACCGCTAATTCACATCGATTCTCCACCGTCGCGTGCAAAACCCGGGAATTATCGGCCGGCTTAGCGTACATATCGAGTTCAATAATATACGTACCTATCTCGCGTTTTTCATCCGACTTGAGTCGGCGCGAAGATTAAACAAATTTCGCGGAAGCGGGCGGGCGGGACCACTTAATTTCCAACCGTCGGATTTCCTCCGGATCGTCCGGCTGGGAATCGATCGCGTAAGAAGCGAAGAGCTGTTAAAACACGTCCCCGGCAACCAAGCATCGGCCGACCGGGAAACAGAGGGAGACACAAACGGACCGTATTAGAGCATCCTCGGTGCACCTTCGGAGCGGTAAACAACTAATTGCGTTTACAATCCGCGCGCAGGTACAAGGTTTACCTACAACCGTCGCAAATTGTGCGGTGCGGTAAGACATTGACTGACGTGTACAGGAACATTCTCATTAATTCTATTTAACACAGTTAAACGATGAGATAATTTGCGATGGGATAATTGTAATTCGCGCGATTAAATCGCACTCGGGATTCGGTTACGGCCCGGCGGACCCGGCGTGCGTGTACTATCATCCGGCGCGCGCGAAATTTTCCAATAATTTATTTTACATATGAATAAGAAGAGTTTAGAAATTAATGAGCATTGCCGCGTGAATGTGAACGGTAACGGCTCGTGTGTGCGGCGAAAACTGATAAAAATGTTGCAAATACCGGGACGGAGGCGCGTCCTTGTGCAACGTGACGCCGCACATACCCCGCACGTACAATGGTAATTTTAATGCCCCCAGTATACGTGGCTGTCGCTGCAGTGTATATTATTACTACATCCGTCCGTTATTATGATGAAAGTCTACTCCGCATTCGTAACCGCCATTGTAGCGCTCCACCGTGTCGGTACTTCAAAAGTAATGAATCCGCCCGCTGAAGTAAATAATCGGCTTTCGTGTTCGCAGCAATCGTCTTCGCGCACAAGATGCGAAAAGCACTCGTCCCTCTCCCCTCCCAAAGTTTCGCCGCGTAGAAGTCGACCGAGCGAAATTTGATTTGATTACAATTATAAATTCACAGCGAACAATCTTCTCCCTACCCCCGCCACCACCACCACCATCATCACCGTCGTTCGCGCATTGCCTCGCTCGTTTAACTCGTGTTGCACGAATAACATTTTGCCTACTTAATCGCACTCCCCCCCCGTGAGGTCTGAATATTATATCGTCTGCGAAAAGCGACGAGTAAGCGGAAATTATCTTACGAGAATGATATTTGCGAAAGTTTAAATTATCAAATGTTTCCCGACATTCCCATTATTGCCGTTGCGTTTTATGCCGGCAGCGCGCGTTTCTCAAATTCATGGAATTTTATATCAACATGTATCTTGCCGGGATTCGGTTACGCTTCACATTTTCGAAAGAGGATACCGTCCATTATCCATTATTCGTTACTCCGTTTCATAACGAAATGGTAAATCGCTCCCCGACCGGAGTGTCGACGCTCGATCGACATGCGCGCAAAATTCCCTCGTTCGGCGCATGTACCGTTCCGCCGTGTCGATTCCGCGCGACACTTGGCCCCCGTCGAAGAAATCAGCCGCGAAATTCTAATCTGATCGCGGATACGCGATAGTATCGGAATTTTCCGTTACTCCCCTCCTGGCGAACCGCCTCGACATCGGTCCCGTCATTCGGACGGACGGACACGTTCTCCGTGGTATCGCGAGGTCTGTGCAACTACGGTGACGCGCCGATAACGCGCTCCTTTATTTTTAAGAGATACCGATGAGACCTCCCCCACCGCTCACGAATTCCCGTCTTTCCTGCGCCTTTGCAGATGGGAATTCGAGCTGAAGACCGGCGCCGACGGCGGCCTGTTGCTCTACAACACCGGGCAATCGTCCTACGCCGATTACCTCGGCATCGAGCTGTTCGAAGGCAAGATTCGGCTGTTGATGAACAAAGGTAACGGCCCGTCCGAGCTGATACACGGCACCGTGGTGGCGGACGGCAATTGGCACAGCGTAATCGTCGATTTCAATCCGAGCGGCATCGGCATCGCCGTCGATCGTCACGAGAAAGCGATGGCACTGCCGTCCGGCGGCAATCGCTTCCTCGATCTGGCCGACACGCTCTATATCGGCGGCACCGAGCTGAACAAACGCGCCCGGGCACTCGGCAAGGGCCTCCGGTCCGGCGATGTGAGCTACAAGGGCTGCATACGAAACATGGTGCTCGATAACAAGGACCTCGGTCTACCCGACGTTAAGGTCAGCCAGGGTATCGTCGTCGGCTGCGTATGGGGCTTCCCGTGCGTCGAGGCGGACCCGTGCATAGCCGGGGCTACGTGCTCGCAGCTGGGCGTCAGCTCGTTCAAATGCAACTGCGAGCAATCGCTGTGCATCAAGCCGAATTACGCTGATGACTACAAGGTAGATCAATTTTAATTGAGTTCCGATGACGCTCTCCACTCTCTTGGCGCGGGTTACGTTGCGGTTGCGAGCTAATTATGTCACCGGTAGCCGGCATATGGATTTATGGAGATCCAAAATGTACGAGGCTAACTTAGTCAAGATAGAGCGCGCATATAGGCCGCTCTTTGGCCCTTGTTCGCCCAACTAGCGTCATTTATACGCGAGATATATAGGAGGGCCATTTTAGTTTTATCCGTGTCAATCGCGCAAATGACCGGTTTTCTGATCCGGGGAGATATTCGAGCGACGAAGCGCACGTTGAAACGATATCCCGACGAGGAGCGTTTCGGTAGAATGTAAAAAGTCGATACGACGGCACCTTTGCAGATCTACTCCAACGGCACTCTGCCCGTAAACCTGGAAATTCTTTCGCTGAGTCCTATACTGGTTTCCGAGGGGAAGTGTGTGGAGGTGACGAGCGAAAATATCGGGATGGTGCTGGACATTGCTAAATACGGCGTGGGAGAGGAGGGTGTCGTATTCACCTTGGTAACGCCACCGACTTACGGCACACTGACGCTCGACCCGCTAACGACCCGGAGCGATCACTCCTTCACGTTACAGGATATCAATCGATCAGACAAGGTAACAGTACGACCGGCCATCGATCTACCGAATCCGTCGAACGTTAAATTCGTTACACAAGTAAATAATTTTCTGTTAAATTCAACACATTTCTCAAACGGTCCGCACAAATTAAAATATTGAGACGACATAAAAACATGTTAAATTAACAAACGGGCGTGTGAAAAATTTAACACAAAAATCTTAACAAGGACCGATTTTTTCACGTACAAGTACAAAATGTCTTTCACCGTGTTACACGAAAGTTCAGCCACGACCGGCGATCGCCGCGACGTTCGCCCGTCGGTCACACGTGCGCACGACGACGGAGCCCCGAAAGATCGCCGAGGAGTTTCGCGGAAACACGTGTAAAAGACGAAACTCGGTCGACCTGACGTTAATTAATATCAAGTGACCAAACGCTCCGTCCCGTACAGGCCGGCCGACCGACCCGTAGGCCGTAGAAGGTGCGGAGGAACGTGGAAAGTCATGTGTTCTTCCAGTTCGTCATAGGACCACGCGTTGCTATACATAGTACGCGCCATAAGGACTAACTTTAGAACCGTTGGAGGGTCGGACAGCTCCGTCCGTGGTTCTCGTCGTCCGCTAACCCACACTCAATTTATCTAGCGACAGTGCTCTATTTATAAACTGCCGCGCCACCACTTATTAATGGTTTTTCGTTAAATCGCGTATCGGGCTTTTTATACCGTACCGTGCCATCGACTCTCGTTACCTGCCGCCAATTACTTTCTAATCGTTACAAAAAGAACGGGGGATAAAAAGGCGACCCCCCCCTGCCTTTTCCACTCGTTCTCTCTCTCTCTCTCTTTCGCGTCTCGCGGGATCGGCGACCGACGACGCCCACTCGATATGCTAATCAACGACTGCAGGCATAACCCCCGTCGCTCTAATTAATTTCAACCGCGGTCGATCTCGAGTGTTAGATCGAACGGCAGAAAGGATAACACGAGTCGGGCGTTCTGACGTGCTCGTCCATGATTAATTCTGATTCTGTAGCACGACGTGGCATACATACGTGTGTGTGTGTGTGTGCACACCCGCTCGAGATTCCCGTGGCGGGAGCTGCGGCAAGTTTAAAGTCCACACACTCCTCTTTCGTTGTAAGGTCGCGTCTAACCGATACTGCACGACAGATTAGTAGCACTCGCGCGCGATCTCCCCGTCGTGTGCAAATTTACTTTATAAGACGCGCGCGAACACGGAAGATGCGTAAGACCGGGACGCCACGTCACTTAATCCTCGAGCTCGCGCGATTCGGAAATGTCTATTAAACGCTTTCAGAAGTACCGTTGTCTGCCCGTGTTACGGATCTCGTCTTAGTATTACCGTTAATTTCCCCCGGTCTCGGCGATTCCTCCACATTAGGCGCATGATGTATAGCGTTTATCCTTATGATAATTGACTTCCTCGACAGATACAGTACACGCACGACGGTAGCGAAACCACAGAGGACAGCATGATTCTGGAACTGACATTGGTGGCCGGGACAGGCTACACGCTGCCAGGATACCTCCAAGGACGCCTCAGGTTTCCTCTTCACGTTAATGTCACTCCTGTCAATGACCCTCCGTTGCTCGAGATACCGACCGCGAAAGTGCTGCGTCTGGCCCAAGTAAGACACGAAAATAAACTCGAGAAGAGAGAGAGCTCGTCTCCTTCTCCCCCCCCCGACCGCTCATTCCGTCACACTTTTTCCACGAACGCCCAATGCGACAATGCGATAATTCGAAACACGTTGCGTCTCGCCGGCCGAAACAACCACCGCTTCACGCCACCTAACCGAATCAATTAAACAGAGGCCGAATGAAATAGGAGCTTATTTGTGGCTCATGCATCTTCGGAGAACGCGGCAATTTAGCCGCGGTGAAATCGATTTAACTCGCTCGCGCGCCGGTCATCGCTCTTAATTAACCGCGTGTAAGCCCGAGGATACACGCGATATGCGTGTGTGTGTGTGTGTTGCGTATACGCGTGGCCGCACATAGCGAGCGAGCGTGCACATTTCTTTCGATCCGGATGTACATTCTCGGAATAGCGATGATCGGCGATACAAAGGCGGAAATTGTCGCGGCCACGGCAATCGACGTCCCCCTCCCCGTTTGATTTTAGCGTCAACGCGCGGGAATAGCCGTTTTTTCGTCCGCCGCGATTGTGTAGTGCAAATCGCTCGATACACCGCGCTCTCCACGTCGCGCACGAGACGGACGGGCGTGCGAAAGCGCGAAAAACGCTGATACTCTTCGCAGGGCACGAGGAAAACACTGACCAAGGAGCTAATATGGGCGATAGACAACGACACACCCTCGGAAATGCTGACCTACACGGTTTTACGAGCGGACACCGACGCCGGCCACATCGAGAGAGTCACAACCCCGTTCCGACATATCGACACGTTCACGCAGGCCGAACTGATGCAGGGTCTCATCGCTTACGTGCATCGCGGAAACGGTAATGAGCGCGAACGTTGCGTCCTTTTTTCGAAAGTTAAATTCGAATATCGTTTTAACATCCAATGTTGAGGTAATAAACGCAGCATGTTAAATTAGCTGAGCGATTGTGTTAAGAGAACTCGAGGTAATATTTCGTTTTTAAATGATGCGTAAAAAACTAAACTGACATAGATATAACACACATGCAAACGTCACGGAAATAGTAACGTATCAGCTGTATGTTAATTTTACATTGAAGTAATGACCAAAAGTCAGTAATACAAGAAAATGTCAACATTTGGACACAAGGTTTCTTATTGCGTAGCGCTTCTCATTTCCCCGAGCCTACGACAGGGCTCTCGTCGAGATTCCGCTGGTACGAACGAGTCGAATGTTAACTTTGCAGCCAAGCCGAACGCGATGCTGGGTCTGCAGGTGAGCGACGGCATCGTAAGCAGTCAGCCGGCGAACCTGCGCGTATCAGCTTACCCGTTGCAAATCAAGCTGACGCATAACACCGGCCTCGTTGTGGTGCACCGTTCGTTCTCCTACCTGACACCCGCGAATCTCTCGTTCGCCACGAATTCCGACGACAACACCATCGACATCCGTTACGACGTCGTCTCGCCGCCGCAACACGGAGTTTTGCAAAAACCCAGGGACGTCACCGGTACCTGGATGAACGTCGACCACTTCACCAGTCGAGACATGGAGTCGCATATCGTTCGTTATTATCACAACGTCGGTAGTCCTAATCAGGACGACTTCAAGTTCCAGGCGAGTGTGCGCGAGGTGAAGACGCAGCAGACCTACGACTTCCGTATCACTTTCATCGATCTCGAGCTGAGGGAAGCCAGAAGGGTGCCTGTTAATCTCACCAATACGCCGAACATCACTATCGCGAGCAACCACTTGAGGTACCAGACGAATCCATTAGTTACGTCGCCGGGCAAGATTGTTTTTACTCTCACCACGGGACCAAGATACGGCAATTTGTTTCTGTCCGATCGCAAGCTCAGTTCGAGCGACACCTTTACGCAAGAAGACATCGAAGCCGGCAGGCTGATCTATCGTCTGTTCCGACGCGCTTACTCCAATATCCTCGACGAAATAACGTTTAAGGTCAACGCACCCCAGTGCGTCGACATACACGCCAACTTAAAGTTCCAATATCACGTCGGTAGAAACGCCGGAGGCAAATCGCTGGAGGGGGTGGAGAGCCTGAGGGTCGACGAGGGCTCCAAAGTGCCTCTGAGAATCGCGCATGTGAATCCGAAGGAATACGGTATATCTTCCCTGATATATAATCTTACAATAAAACCGAATCACGGCTGGCTGTCGATCGCGAATACCTCGCGTTCACAGGGACAAAGGAACGTCTCGTCCTTTACGTTCGAGGATTTGTTGACGCAGACGGTGTACTACGTGCACGACGATTCCGAGACGAAAGATGACTCTTTCGAGTTCGTGGCGGTGTCCCTGGACCCCGTGGATTTCATGTACGCCGGGCGATTCCGCGTCGAGATCACCATGAGGAACGACAATCCGCCGGAGCGAACGGCCGACAGGACCTTCCATGTCGTGTTGAAGGGCGAGAAACTGATTACCAACAAGGATCTCGCTTACACGGACAAGGACATCGGCACTAGAGCGAGCGAGCTCGTTTACACCAGGAGGGACAACCGGAGGAGCGGGATATACCGAATTACCAATCCCACGGTGCAAATACGCGAGTTCACGCAACAGGACATCAACGACGGCGTGATCCTTTTCCGGCATCAGGGTGACGAACACGAGAAAATTGAATTCGGTATCACCGACGGCCACTTCTACCGGACCGGCGCTCTTGAAATCCAAGCCAGTCCGCCTTATATCAGATTGCGCGAGAGCAACGGTTCGGTGGTCCAATTCAACAAATCCGTGGTGCTTCAGCCGAGAGAACTGGAGATCGAGACGAACGTGTACACCAGTGAGAAGGACATCAAGTACACCGTGTGGGAGAAACCGAAGCACGGTATACTGCTGAAGCACAATAAAGAATCCAACAGTTTCACGAAGGACGATTTGAGGCACGGTTCGGTCGCGTACAAGCATCTGGGTGGAACCTTGACGAAGGACGTTTTTAAGTTTACGGTGCACGTGAAGGACGCAGAGACCGACGACGCGTTCGCGATCCAAGTCTACCCGGAGAGCTACTGGGAGCCGTTGATCGTCCAGAATAACAAGACGATATTCGTCGAGGAGGCTACGAGCGTTCTGCTGAGCCGGAAGAGCCTCGAAATAATGCATCCGAACATATCATCGACCGAGATCGTCTATCACGTGCGGGAGTGGCCGTTGAACGGCTATCTGGATCTGCAGATCCACGACGAGCACAGCGAGGAGATGAAGGAGGAATACAGCGTCAACGCCGTAAAGCACTTCGAGCAGAATCTTATAAACGACGGTCGCGTCTTCTACGTACAATCGGTGATGAATCAGACGAACGACCGCTTCGTCGTCGACGTTACCAACGGCATCACATGGCTGCGCGGTCTGAGCGTGAACTTCGTTATAGTGCCGGAGAAACTCTACGTCGAGGCGAAGGGCTTCGTCGTGGTGGAGGGGAAGAGCGTGATATTAGATGAGTCGAACTTCTCGGTGATGACGCCCTATTACGCCGGAAAAGTGACGGATTACAGGATCGCGGAGAAGCCGAGGCACGGCACGATCGTCGACTCCACGAAGAACGCTCAGGCGAAGAAGTTCTCGCAGAAGCACCTGAATGCCGCGGTCGTACTCTACAGACACAACGGGGACGAATTCCCGACGGACTCCTTCAAGATGATCGTCACGGCTGGCGACAAGAGCAGCGAGCCCTTCGACGTATCGATCACCGTTCAGCCCGTTAACGACGAGATCCCCGTGCTGGTGAACCGGACCAAGATAAACGTCTGGCAAGGCGGATCCGTCGTCGTGACATCCGCGAATCTGGCGGCAGTCGACAACGATACCGACCCGCGCGATATCACGTTCAACGTGACCGGAGTGAGAAACGGTTACATTTCATTAATTAACTCCGCCGATGTGGACATTTATAATTTCACGCAGAGTCAAATCAACGAGTCGCAGGTGGTGTTTACGCATACGAGTGAGTATATTATTATTAATATTGTTATTATATTCGAAAATTAATCTAAACGCACATACGCGAATTATTTCTACATAATTATACGTACATGTATAACGCAAAATGCTGACGAGAGATTAATTACGAACTATAAGCACGAATTCGATTAATTCCGCATTGGAATATACGTGCGTGAGATCATGCGAGTATAATAATCGATACGGAGATAATGAAAGCGCCCCATGCTCTTTCAGATGGTTCCGACGCGGAGTTTAACTTCGTATTGAGCGACGGTGTACACACGACGGAGTCTTACACGATCTTGGTCGCCACAAAGCCAGTCCGTTTGAACATCGAGCACAATATACCCCTTAATGTCTTCCCCCTCACCAGGAAATTAATATCGGAGAAGCTTTTATTAACGACGTGTTCAGACGAAGCGAGAGAGATTAGATACACTGTGCGAAATGGACCCCATTTGGGCAAAGTTATAATGGAGACAAGTGAGGGCGTATGGCTCGAGGTCGAGCGATTTACTCAGAGAGATATAAACAATAGCAAAGTGATTTACGAGCACACCAAGCAGTTCATGGACCTGACGGCCAACGACTCTTTTACGTTCGACATAGAAGCACACTTCGCTGGAGCTTTAACGAATCAGGTATAGAAGATGACCGAGCAGCCGCTTAACGGACAGCTTCATCGTTTAAAAGAATCCCTTATCTACTATCAGAATAGTTTAATTTTGCAAATCAATACTATTCGTGCTTCCGGCAAATTAAGAGATTCGACTTTTACGTAACGTTATTAATTTCTAACGGTATACCATGTATTGCAGGTTTTCCAAATAGATATATCAGTTTCAAGCGGTGGCCTAGACCGATACATCTCCGCGAAGAACGTGAGAGTCGTGGAGGGTGGGTCCGCGCAAGTCATTATGAACATCAGCGGCATCGTGTCATTCCTGCAGATCAACGCCGGGCTCCAGCAACCGGCGGTACTTTCGAGATTGGTTCATCAGCCCAGCCACGGACACGTGATGCTTCTGCCGGATCTGAACGTGACTACCTTCACGCAGCCGCAGATCGAGGGTGGAAAGATAGCTTACTACCACGACCATTCGGACACTCTGGAAGATCGCATACAATTCTCCCTGTACCTGACACCCGGCCACGTGTTGCTCTGCAACACCAGCGTTCCCGTCGTCATCGAACCGGTCAACGATGAGCCTTTCAAGCTCGTCACGAACGCTCCGTACATCACGGTCGTCCAGAATCAAAATCAGACCATCACACGGGAGAATCTCCTCACCATCGATCCCGACACACCACCGGAGGAGATCATTTACGACGTGATCTCGGGACCGACGTACGGCAGATTGCTGCTCCTGCCCTTCGACCAGAACACGTCGGAGGTGCGGCAGGTGAATAAGTTCTCTCAGTACGACGTGGACTCCAATCGAGTGGTGTACGAGCACAATGGGCCGCTGCAGGCCGCCTCCTTCTACTTCAGAGTCTGGGACGGTCGATTTAATCCGAGTTACACCGTTTTCAACGTCCACGTGCTGCCGATACGTTTGAACGTGACGGTGCTCGGGCCGGTGAGCTTACAACAAGGTTCGAACGTGGCTCTCGTATCGGAGAACAACGTGAAACTCGACACGAACGCTCGACAGGACCTGGTTACCTACGAAATCATGACGCATCCGAAGCACGGAGTGCTGTACGTGAGGGACAACGCCGCGGCGACCTTCAAGCAGACCGACCTGCTGTCGAAGAGCGTGATGTTCATGCAAACCGACATGACGGTATTGAACGACAGTCTGGAACTGTCGGCGCGCTTGAGCGGCTTCGAGCAGCAGCACATTCGCGTGGACATCAAGGTAATACCGCTCATGATCATGAACCCGATGATAGCGTTGGCGGGTGAGAAAAACCAGATAACTCTCCGGTATTTGGACGCGACGCCTTTGGCGAAGCTGACGACCAGCAATCCCCTCTACACCATCGTGAGAAAGCCAAAGTTCGGCAAGATCAAGAGGATCATCAGGAGCTCCTCGTCGTCCGGCGAGAAGAGAGGCACGCGTGAACGGGAGGTGGCGCGGTTCTCGCATCAAGAGATCGTATCTGGCGTGATATATCTCGTCTGCAGAAAAATACCCTCGATCGAGTACGAGGGGATCGCGGACAGCTTTACCTTCATCTTGGCGGCGTCCATCTTCCAGCCGGCGGTGGGCGACTTCGAGTTCAGGATCAGACACGACACGGACGACGACAACATCACCTTAGGCGGCCCGATGGACCCGGTCGGTCACGAGGGCGAGATGGCGATCGCACCGAACATGAGCAACGACTATCTGCTGATCCTCGGCATGCTGCTAGGCGTCTTCCTTCTCGGAGTGGTGGTGATCATCACGATCAGGTGTCGGCACAACAGGTACAAGCACGCCGAGGAGGAGAAGCCGGAGAGCACACCCGCCGTCGGTGTGATGCCGCTCCCCAGACCTCCTGATCATCTGATGCCTGCGACTCCGCATCTCAAGCCCTTCGGCAACGATCACAATAGCGTGACGGCGAGCACGCCTTTGCCGGTATTGCCGTCGACGTTGCCGCAGTGCAAGGTGATACCGCTGAGCCCTCTGGAAAGCGGCTCAGAGGTCGACGTGTCCGCCAGGTATCCTTACGGGGTGGCGGACGGCGACGAATGGAGTAGCTTCGACACTTCCGATCTACCTTGCCAGTCGGCCACAACTCAGAGGACCAAGAAGAACCCGTTGCTGAGGAGGGATCAGTACTGGGTCTAGCAGGAGACGAACGCGTTGCGGTTCATGCGAAGGAAGCCGTAGCGACGTCTCGCGATCGTGCGGAACTATATATCGAAACTATCGTGGATATCACGGACTTGATGTGCCTAAGGAAAGTGAAATCTGCGCACGGGATTTACGGAGGTCGTTCGAAGCCGGACGCCGCGTGAGAACGACGATGAAATGTCGATGGTGCGGCGAGGTCAGCCCGGTGACTGTGTCGGCGTGTCGTCCGATTGTGGTTTGAAGAAAGGGGAAAATAAAATAGAGAACAAACGGAGGGGACTTCTGAACGGAGACTTCTACGGATCGACGTTTTCGATCGGACTCGCGATCCGGGGGTAGTTCGCAGTGTCTCGTGTATCGCTAGCCTAAAACGATATAAGCAGAATTCTAGAGAACCTTCTTGAATGTCACGACTATCGCCGCTATCACGAGCTCAATGTGCCTAAGAGATGTCTGATTCTGCTGACATTTTTCCACTGATCGCAACGTCGATCTTTCCTGTACACCCGCTCAACGCTCCTTCCCTTCGGCAGATCGATACACACATACATGCATACATACACACACATATATATATATATGTGTGTCTGTGTGTGTGTATGTATATATATGATATCTGACTGGCAAACGAATACGGCAAGTCGCAATTCGGTGGATACCAAGAGAGATCTCTGTCGGTAAAAATCATTCCGATTCTAAACCGGAAATCTGTCCGTCGATTCACTGGCTCGTTTTAGAGTGCAGACCCTCAGAAGAATCCGTATAATAACATCTTTTACGTTTTTCTCTATCTCTTTCCACTTTTTACACTTTTTGTAAACTTAGAACAGTAAGAAGTACCAAGTTACGAAAATGGCATTTATCGATCCCTACTGTCGTAAGTTTCAGGTGAAATCAAAACCAAGGCGGAACTTTCGCTCTGCCTTAAGCTACGTAGATAAAGGCCGAGGACCGAGTAAACGGGACAATGTAGGAGTCTCGGGATTGTCGAATCGTAAAACGATCCAATATCTACAATGCAATCGAACACTTGCACGTTCCTCTTACTCGTTTCTTGCCGTTGAAGCGCAACCGAATATATTAATGCGACTGTACTCCAATTTGGACATATCTTTTTATATACCATTGTATTGCTTGAGTTGAGCTTTCATTTCTCTCAAATGGTCTCGCGTTTCAGTTCATTCTATCGTTACTCCGACTATCTCGGTATTATCCCTATTAGCTCATATCGTACGATTGAATCGACAATTAACGTTCGTACATTCGTTCGTTCATTCGGTAAAACGCGTACACGCATCGGTGGAAACGGCGAAGTCGATTTATTTTTACGTGGCATGAAATGCGTTGAATTATGGCTCTCGTTAAAAAAAAAATGTACAGCATGCAGCAGATGAAGAAATCGTATCGACTGTTTGTCGCGATCGCAGCGTAGGAGCGAGGCCCGTCGATCGATAGCGTTACTTCCGCCGCGAATCATCGTTTTTAACGTTTCTTTCACGACGAAGCGTCACAACGATTATCTTTAATGGGATTACGTAGTATCTCGCCTACGAGACGCGCAGTCATCCGTTTGCCCGCATGATTCGTCTCTGTAGCGAGCGATAGGACACTTTGCTTAGGCGACGCCAGATAACACGACTGTTCAACGTATCTGAAATTGCGAATTATCGTTAACGGTCTAAGCCTGCAAGTCGTTTTTTACACGAGTCCGTTGAACTTTCCTACTACGAGTCGTTGACGCGCGGCGAGTTCGTAATTCATAAGCGATGAACGGGGTAATGTATGTATGTGTGTGTGTGTGTGTGTGCGTGTGTACGGTTCCGGTATTACGAGAGAAATTTATTGACGGGGGCGTGTTGACGAGTTCGTTGATTCATAAGAGAAATTTTACGTTACGTTACCCTCATACGCGAACTCACTCAACGAATCCGCTTCCGGCCAATGCCAAGCGAACGCGATAGACCGCGTTGTAAATTATCGTTTAGCCTGCAATTGTAATTATACGAAATGATCAGGTGTGAACCGTTAGACCGATGTCTCTCGCGATGAGCATCGTTATTAAATAGACGTAAAAATTACACGTCAACGTAAACGAAAAAGTAATATTCGTGTCGACGTGTCACGAACGACACAAATTAAGTTAGAAGTCACTGAATGGCCACGTTAGTTTTCGACACGAGCCTATTTTATGTAAGTTGCTAGGATTGCTTGCGTTAAGATTAAATAACGTTGCCGTTGTAAAATTCTCAAATAGAAATTTCATTACACTTCTGCAGAAGCTCGAGCGTACGTCTGGCCGAAAGTGGATTAATGGCGACTTCCTTAAAAAGAATCTTAGAAGCGTATTTAATAAAGCAGTCTAATGTGAATGTTGATTATAGCAATTGTAATGATATATATATAATATATATATATATATATATATATATAATGCGAACACTCTCCTACACGCGCGTAGAACGTACTACCGTTCCATGGATTGATAGCATACGCATTGATAGATTCTAATTAAAGACGTTTTATCGAGATAAAGACAAAGGGAGATAGAGAAAGAGAAAGAGAGAGAAAGACACCCGTTCGTTGATTCATGAATATGCTAGAAACGAACCGTTAGGCTTTTTTACATCCATCAAAAAACGAACTGATCTGAGTGCCAAACTTCTATAATCTATGATATTATATAATTACCATAGGAATGTATTTTCCCTGCCGACTGAATGCATTACTCTTCTAATTCTAATAAATTGAATGTGCGATGTTAAGTAAATACGGTCTAATTTATTATTTAGCGCACATTTTTATGTGACTTATTTTTCTTGTTTATCATAATGCGTTATTATTATTAATATTACGATTTACTTTATATATACTAAATACACGTGTTATTAAATAAATTAATTAAACGAAAATTATTTTCGTTTAATTATTATTTCGTTTATTATTATTATTTAATTAATTATTAATTAAACGAAAATTTTTTATAACCGTTATAACACGTTTTTATATTTTATAAAAATTTCTGTTATTACGAAAGATAAACGAGGAAATACAACAAATCCATTAAAAATACACATGTACGCATATATTATATATGATTGAGTTATGAGAATATTTCTGTTTAATTTGCTAATGATTTTACGTAACACATTTTTGTATGTGGTATTACGTAACTTGCGCGTCGATGGAATCAACAATAAAAATCAGTTTTATATGGTATGTATGACACATAAAATATTTTCCTCGCGGTAATCATTATTGATTTGATTAACAAAAGAATAGACGTCTCACTCTTAGACGAAGTCAAGAGTGTTGTTTTAAAAATTCGGAATAAATTCGGTTTTTTTATTTTCCAAAGGTTTGTTTCAGTTTCTTCCCGTGGATGAATAAAAAAATGGAAAATGCGATTTTTTTTTAATTATAGCAAGACAGCATCAAAACCGATCATACCAAAGACTTGATAGAAATAAGTTGTTTATCCTGATATTGTTTAAACAATAAAATTAGATTTATATTTCGTAAACAAGAGACACGTTTTATTTAACATGAGAATAAGATAATAATTTTGTAGTACTGAGAGGTGGCAAATATCTATTTAATTGTTTGAATGATGTAAACAATAATGTATATATCAATCAAAATTAGGAGGACATTTTCTTCCCCTCCCTATATTCACATAAAATCTATCATTATAGTAATTGTGTCCAGTTCGCGCCGCGTCCAGTTCGCGCCGCTGCATCGATGTAAACAAATGAACGTTGTTATTTACCTATTGCGAGTTACCAACTTTTTTTTCACTCATTTATTCGATAAAAAAAATTTTCCAAAATATTTTGACTTTTCATTAAAACTTTCAAGTTCAAACGTAAGAAAGATATTTCGTCACTTCAGATTTGATGAATTAATAGTTTTAAATGTTGCCCCGTACAGTTTAATTATAAATTTTTTGAACGAATTAAACTCTCTTTAAAGCCACTTTCTCAGTATGGCAAGCTACCTTGCAAATAAAATTAGTGATATGATAGTAGTTTGCCATAACAACTAACTTGCTACATGAAGGCTTTTACAAAAAGTTTTCCAGATGAAAGACATCCTAACAACTGAGCAGTTCGAAACCTACCTCATAAGCTCGTGATAGAAATCTGGTTCGACAACGTCGACATCATGAATACAACGAAGATAATGCACGAGCTTGTGAGTCAGTCTACTTGTGGATTGGAATTCAATTTATTTTAAAGAAAAAGAAATGATTAAACTCGCTGTTCCCAGAGTTAGGTGGTTTAGCCTGCTTGGGGTTTAGTAGGGGTGGTTTCTTGACCTTCATTTGACCTATGGAAGTCACGTTAACCTTATACTTTGATACATATCTGGATGTAAAATTTCCCGCTCTTTCTGAATCCGGCATTAAAAATAGGGGGTTCCATTTAAAAAAGTGTCCTTGACCTTGAAATGACCTTGAAAACTGACCTCAAGGTCAAGGTCATTAGCACAAATAGATGACACTCACTGTCCTCGACAACTTTTATCGGAACATTTTTTTCGTAGGTTGCGTAGTTTCGGAGATATCTCTGATTGACGATTAAAATGGGTCACCGTGTATATAAATTACATCGTGCTACGTTACAGGCTACTTTCATCTGGACAGTAACAATAATTGAACCTGTTTGAACTTGTTAGAGAGCTCTCGAAGGTCGACAGGATTCATACGCCATCGGGATTCACAAATTCTCACATCCTCGGTGTCGAAACGCGCAGTGACAAGCTTTAAAAGCACGTATGATCTAACCGACGCGACGCGATAAACCGTAACGGTTCGCCATATCAATTTGCACTGAAAATTGTGTGAATCGAGCGATATGTTCAAACGGTTTTGTTTGAAAATGTGCGGTTAACTTCAGGTCGCCGTGGAAAAGTTGTGTTTGTTAAAAGAATAACGAGCTAACGTACTTGAAATTATTTCCCTGCATCTTCGAACGATTTAAGTGATGGATAATATCCTAGGATAAAATATAAATATATTTCTTATCTTGATAAAATGTTCTCATTCGAGAGTTCCACATCAGTGGCGCGTCGGTGAAACTCGATTGAACTACATGACGGTTCTCGTGAAGTTGCTGCGACGCGCATCTTACAGTAATGAGCCTCGTACCGCCACCTATAAAATCAATCGTGCACGAAATCACGCGGGTTAGCGGGAGTGCGCGATATCTCAGTCTCGACTTCTCTCAACATGGCTTCGTGCGTGCGGTGAGCTTGATTATTTTCGACTTTTTAACCTTCAAACGAACGAAGATACGGATTTATCGCGCGCGTCCGGGACGTCGCCCATTCATGTCGTACTCAGCGGACGTGACGAATTCGCCGGTCTCTCAGTACATGTAAAATTTCGCTCGTCGCTCGTACCGCGTTTTGATCGCGATGACGTGGCCCCCCGCGATACATTATTTATTTTATAAATATTTTTCTCAATGAACACGTCGCGCAGCTGGCCGTGGATCTAATCTAATCTGTCGCTGAACAAATACGATATCGACCACCATACGCAGCAGTGGAATTTCACAGTTTTACAAACGATTGTTGCCAACGTTTTACAGTCCGTCGCGGCCGCGTTTCGCGGCAGTGTTCTCGCTTTAAATCACTACCAAGCCGGAAGTAAAACAAGAAGAAAGTACAATGTAATGCCCGCTGACGAGCATCGCTTTTGCATATTATTATAATTTACGTCATATATATATACATATATGTATAGAATGCACTCCGTCGTACATCTCGCAACAAGTTCGATATATCCTCGTCCTTGTGAATTTTTCAGGTTGGCTCTATTTTTAGTATTATTGTGTTCTTCATTTATCGTCGATGCGGTCAACAGAGATAACTTCAAAAGATGCGATCAGAGCAGTTTTTGCCGGTAAGTTTCAGCCTTATATCTTAGATATTGGGTTGTTTGAAAGACACTGGTGTAATTATTGTTTTTCTTTCCCCTAAGGCGGTGCCGAAAGATGGAATCTGGAAAGACGCCGTATCAACTTCTACCAGATACTCTTGTACAGAGTGAATTTATGATCACTGTAGAATTATATAATAAGGACACAAATATCTTCTATGTGGTGAAACTTACGTCGTTGAAGGAGAACACGTTTAGGTTACACATTAATGAAAAACACCCCCTACATCCCAGATATGAGAACGAGTATGCGCTTCATGATCAGCCGCAAACAGTGAAATTGGATTCTGTGGAAAAGACTGCTGAGAGTATAACCGTAACAAAGGATGAAAACAAAGCTGTTTTGTACATTAATCCATTTAAAGTAGATCTGTACTCCCAAGGTGTTTTAGCAATATCGGCGAATGCTCGCGGCCTTATGAGATTTGAGCATTTGCGTACTAAGCCAGTAAGGTACATTCATATTACTACAAGACTTATTATCTTACCCTTAATAAAATATGAATAACACGTATCAATCATACATATACTGTTACACAGATCAGAACAAAGCGACAACCCAGAAGCTGTGGACACAAATAACAGTACGTTTCCTGGTGATGGTGCTGATGATGATCCTGGTGCTTGGGAAGAGAACTTCAAGGAGCATCACGATGCAAAACCGTTTGGGCCGGAGGCTGTTGCTATGGACTTCAGTTTTCCCGGATCGGAGCATGCGTATGGTGTGCCGGAGCATGCTGATTCACTAGCATTGCAGTCAACCAAATCCACCGATCCGTACAGACTGTATAATCTGGATGTATTTGAGTATGAAACGAACGAACGTATGGCTTTGTACGGTGCCATCCCGGTTCTCTATGCTCATGGGTAATATCGCTTAACAAATTAAGTTTTCTAATGAACTTCCTAAAAGTCATGAGAATATTTTGGCACACAATATATTCACATAATGTTTCAGAAAGGAAAGAACATCGGGTGTTTTCTGGCATAATACAGCTGAAACTTGGGTAGATATTTTATCAAGTGCAGACAATAACGTCGTAGAAAGCATCGTTAATTTCGTATCCAGATCCAGCAAAAAGTCCCAAGTGGATGCTCATTTCATGTCCGAGTCCGGAGTCATCGATATATTCTTCATGCTAGGTCCAAAGCCACTGGACGTGTTTAGACAGTACACTATTTTAACTGGCACAGCTCCTCTGCCGCAGGTATGTGAAAGATAAGTAAAGTGTAGTGAAATCTTTCATATCATGAGACTTATCGAGACTTCTCCTTTTCTTCATTATGTTCGCTTATCGTTTTCTTCGTTATGTATCTCAGATGTTCACTTTGGGATATCATCAGTCTCGTTGGAACTATAACGATCAGGATGATGTTGCAACAATCGCCGAAGGTTTCGATACACACGACATACCGTTAGAAGTTATGTGGCTTGATATCGAATACACCGACAGTAAGAAATACTTCACATGGGACTCGCGCAAGTTCCCCAATCCTCTCGACATGATACGCAATCTTACTGCCAAAGGGAGGAAATTGGTGGTTATTATCGATCCTCATATTAAACGTGACAGCAATTACTTTTTACATAACGACGCCACTAGCCTGGGCTATTACATTAAACACCGAGACGGTAAAGATTACGAAGGATGGTGCTGGCCCGGATCCTCGTCATATTTAGACTTTTTCAATCCGAACGTCTTTGAATATTACGTCGGTCTGTACAGTTTGGACAAGTTTCACGGTACCACCAACGACGTTTACATCTGGAACGATATGAACGAGCCCAGTGTATTCAACGGTCCCGAGATAACGGCCCTGAAAGATCTCGTTCACTACGGAGGTTGGGAACACAGAGATGTCCACAACATAAACGGACACGTGTACATTCGTGCAACGTACGAAGCTTTGTTCCGTCGGTCGGGGGGCTCTCTGAGGCCCTTCGTTCTAACGAGATCCTTCTTCGCCGGGTCTCAACGTTACGCGGCGATGTGGACCGGCGACAACATGGCCGACTGGAATCACCTACGCGCGAGTTATCCGATGTGCCTTTCGGTGGCTATATCGGGAATGTCATTTTGCGGTGCCGATGTCGCCGGTTTCTTCAAGAATCCGGACTCCGAATTGTTCATCAGGTGGTATCAAGCGGCGATATGGCTGCCCTTCGTCCGTCAGCATTCTCACATCGAGACGAAGAGACGGGAACCATGGACGTTCAACGAAGAGACCACGCAGGTTGTTCGCGAGGCGCTCAGACTTCGGTACTCCTATCTTCCGTATTGGTACACCCTCTTCCGCGAACACGAAGTGAACGGCTCGCCCGTTGTACGTCCTCTGTGGGTGCACTACCCGGCCGAGACGGAAACCTTCACTATCGACGATCATTTACTGCTCGGTGACTCGATACTCGTACGCCCGGTATTCCAGACCGGTGCCACCGAAGTGTCCGTTTACTTCCCAGGCGAAGGCAAGCTGGCGTGGTACGACATCGATACGATGCAACCCTATCAGCAAGCGGGGTACGTCAATATTCCGGTGACGATCCACAAGATCCCTGTGTTCCAAAAGAGCGGTACTATCGTGCCGCGAAAGATGAGGATACGACGCAGCACGGTCCCCATGAAGAACGATCCGTACACGCTAATAGTAATCGCCGATAATAACGGCAAAGCTGGAGGTAATCTGTATATCGACGATGAGACCAGTTTCGAGTACCGTCACGGAAAATACCTGTACCTAAGACTAAATTTGGCCGGCAATAAGATAACTTCGACCCTGATAGATAAGTTGGCTTCATACGAGACGCTGAGCTGGCTGGAGAGAATAGATATAGCTAATCCGCCTCAAGGAATCAAGTCTGCCCAGCTGCAGTTTCATAGTAAGTCGTCGGATTCAAATATACATGATGACGCACAGCAGTCTCTTTTATAACGTACACATCTATATTAATAATATATTTATTACTGTATTAATAATGTACATAATTTCTTTACAGATATGGGAAAATTAACCTTGGAGACTAAATATAATCCAAATAACAATGTATTAACAATACGTAAACCAGCTGTAAATATGGGCGAAGAATGGACTATTGAATTATTACATTAGGATTATGACTCCACTCATGATCTACTCAGTAATCGTAATCGATAATGCCACTTTTTTATTACTATACATGTTTCAGCTGTGATCCGGGTTATTATATCTGTTAAAACAATAGGGAAGCAAAATTTAGCTATTATGAGAACGAAATAATTGTTATCTTTTTTGGTAAGGGAAAAAAATTCGCTTGCAACGTTTTTCAGATATGCAATCAAGATGTATAATGTCGCAAAGCTGGGAAGTGTTTATACAAATATTGTCCTGTGTAATTTTTGCAACTTTGTTTTATATTATACAAAACCAGAAAAACAAAGTGTATAAATATTCCAGGCTATTATAGTTGATTACAACAAAAATATTACTTTACATTGAACGAGTATACACATTTATGTAATTAATTTAAGAGAATATACATTTCTCTAAATTTATCATAAAATACCATGTATCCAAATAAAACAACATTTGGCCGTGAAGTTGATATCTAAATTTATAATTTCCTATCATTTTTGCTGTTCAACAGCAAAAATATTTTAATATTTGGATTATTTGTTTAACAAAAAATCGTCGGATTTAGATTTAATAAAATATATGTAACGATTTCTTTCAGCAGAAAGTGCCTATTTCACATTTATACGCGTTCCGTTGGCGCATGTTTATGAGCTAAATATAAAAACACTATCGACGATAACGCTGATACCAAGAAAATAACATCGAACCATCTATGATAAAAATTAAACTGCAGTTCTCCTAAGACTTGCGTTATTATGATTCGATATTCCGCCGGCATGTTCATCCGCATAAGAAGTACAGAAGATACAAAATACATCCCCTAAAAACATGGAAACGAAAGTGACAACACCGGAAATTTAGAATGCGATTAAAAATACCTCCGTTATGAATTACGAGCGTAAGCGACTTGTAATTGAAAAAATACGTTATTCTCACCATTATTTGAGCAAGTATAAGTACAATAATATTTGAAGATTTGCTGCTGGATATAGCGTAGAAAAACTGAAACAAGAACAGTAAAATTAAGAAAGATAAATACAATTTACAAATAAACGCGCATGAAATATTGTGTTCGGATTTGACGTACCTTTGTTAAAGTTAACAATAATCCGCGTATGGACGTTACGACAATACAGCCGACGAGATAGAAAGAGATGTGCTGTGACCAGAAAGTAACGTCGATATTAAAACCGATCCAATGCACTGCTATCTCGATTCCCCTGGTCACCGGGTCTTTTTTGCCGACTCGGTCGAACACTATGTTGATTGTAGACTGTAAACACGACGTAAGTATCATTCACTTCACCCGATAAGAGGAAATTTCACCTTCTGGTTTTCGTTGACCGAATTTTCACCTACAATAAATATCTTCCAAGTACAATATAGAGAGAAGAAGTAACCCAAAAAATTAAAGTATTTTCCTTGCCAAGTGGCGGCCCATTCCAAGCGTTCTCTCGCGTTTTGTATATCGTGCGCTTCTAAAAACAACTGTCGCGATAATTCCTCTAAAGCGGCGACTTCGACTTGCAACTGCTTGATAGCTATAAACACATATGCATGTACGGTATTGCTATCTGTCGGAAGGAGACATACTCGCGAATCTCTCGGAATGAAGCGAGATATATTTACTTTCTTGATTTCCCTTCGTACCGCTCAACGGATTCAACATCCCCCACAGTCGAGATCGGGCTTCGGTCTGCCCGTCGGCTTCTCCTTTCTTGGCTAACGCAATTCTTTTCTTCTTCGCGATAATCATATCCATGGTTTGCAGCAGTCGTCTCTCTATTGATTGTACGTCCGCATAAGAGACCGGACGCATGAAATAAGCCATCGAAGTGTACGGGTAATTTACAGCGCCAAAACCCGAGAGGAGAGCCATCACGGTGACACCGATAACTCCTATTCGACTAACACCCTGTTCTATAGACAGCAGCCCTTTCTTGGGGCTTAATATGGGGAAAGGATCGCCCACTTTCCAGAACAGGTAAAGATAGAAAAAGTATATGACGACTGTCAATGGCCGTATTAGATTCAGTCTTACTGCACAGATCAGAATAAATTCGTCAGACGTTAAATCCTTCGGTGAAAAAAGAAAGACAGGCAAACAGAAAATTATATTGTGTATAAAAGGACATTCAGAAGTACATTACCAAATCTGATATTGCTGATGATAAAGTATGCTATGTAAAATGGTATCAGTACTATCACCATAAACAGAAGCATGTAAAGGCCGGCGTTCCAATGGAAATATCTAGAACTGAGAGAAGCAGTATATCGTACCTTAAGCGACACATTGGGATTCTATTTCTTACCTTGAGTCCAGTACCCCCGCTATCTCGAAAATAATTAGCTCAAACATGGTACATGACAGTGAGAAGGTCGCTGAGAAAATTAATTGCACTAGCCTATGATGAACCTCATAATCCCTGAACAGTTTCTTCACAAAGAACATCCATCCTCCTAAGAAGAAAATTACCTGTAAGATGGAAGAGAAATAAATAAAAAACCTGTCGTTATTTTCTTCCAGGAAAGATTCTGCCTATGTGAGATGAGCTTTTTCCCAAAACCAAATAATGAGATAAACTTATGAAATTCGAAGTGAGATTCAACAATTTTATAAAATAAACCGCAGGTCTTCCATTATGAAATTTATTGTAGTATTCTCAAATACATACATTTCATAATTCACATCGTCACAGTATCATCGACATTGACATATCATATGCTAGAGGGAGACAAATATATATATATATATCCATAAACATTAAAAATGTACAGGAAATCGTCGTTACAAAGACTCGACGATGAACTTTTTAGAATATATAATCGAAAAATTTGTCAGTGCCGAGTTTTACATTAAACTTTCCACCATCAAATATTGCCAGTAGTAAACTATTTCTTTTTTGATTCTTCATACACTGTATTAAGACACCATCGTATACTCTCTTTATAACCTATAAACCGGTTCCGGGTTGAAAAACTGATTTTCTCAGTGGAAACGAATTTCCACCTGTGTTACGAGAATCACGAAAGTATCCTCCAGGAAACCCATCTTCGGCTATCGCGGTTTTCACTTCGCATCGCGAAGTCTCCGACAGAATGATTCGTACTTGACAGGATACAAGCAGTTGCGAATGGCTACGTCATCAAACACATGCATATGGAAAGTTCGCACGTTTACCATGCATTCGATATTGCATTCGATCGTAGATTTGTCTAGCAGATAATAATGACAAAAACACATTAAATGAATAAGTGGTTGGTTAATTAATTAATTAATTGATTAATTAATTAATTATTTAATTAATAGCATAACAAATACATATTACACATAAAAATCGAAGAGTCACTTCTCACGATCACGAGAGATAAGTCAAACTCAACTGATAGTAAAATACAATAAAAATAAAGATAACGTCGTGTTCACAGAGTATTTTATAAATTAAAGGTTTCAATTTTGAAATATATTTTCGAATATACAGTTAACTTATATTTTACGGCGTTATATGGGTATAAATTAAGATCCAACAAATGTCAACGTGTTTTATAAAGTTTGTCAAGTTGTAACGTAAAAACGAAAAATCCTATATAAATGATCTTTATATTGCTTGAAGGTACAAACTTTTCCCTTTAATTTACATATACACAGACTGCGATGAATGATTTTACCAAGTTATTAACGTTGAAACGAAAATTCGTCTCAGCTTCAATTGTTTATAAAGGGTAAAAGAATAGACATGTGATATTCATCAATAAGTGGTTGAAAAGCTTAATTAAATTTTTTCTTTATAAAGCATTTATTAAATTCTTTATAAGAATAAATTTTTAATGTAAAGACTCAACTGAAATAGAGATTGAAAATTGAATGATCGTTATTTTTCATTTAACTCAACATATCTTAGCAGAAATAACGGCGACAAAATTATAATATTAATATTACTAAACTGAAAACATTGAGCAGTACAATGCTTTTCGAATTATCTCAATAGCGTAATTTTTGCCGAAGTTATAACCTGTTGAATTTTGTTTATTTTCCATACAATACGATAAATAAAATGTAACTCATCGTTGAGTAGTACTACTTAAAAAATGAAGATCCGCCTGATCCATTGTTGAGTCATATTACGACCTCATTCTTATGGAAAGTGGCGACTCGAAGCGGATATTTCGGAACTAATTTGCAACGTCACAAACAAAAATAACGAGTCTAATATGCGGTTAGTAGACCCCTTATTTCTTCGCAAAAATAACGGGTCTAACATATTCTCTATACCCGTTATTATTTCTTATCTTAATTTATACTTGCGTAACATACCGTAAGAAATAAATCAATTATACATTCGACACAATATATTTCAAAATTGGAAATTTTAATTCGCAAAATGTTTCTTAAATTACATCAGTATCATTATTTTTATCAAAGTTACTGCAAATTGAATTCAGCCTATCTCTCATAATCGAAAGAATTGATTCTCTAATTTTTCTCAGTATGTCTAATAATAAGATAAATATATGTATATATATATATGTAATATGTACATATATGTAATTAATGAATAATTTCATATTTTTTTGACTGATATCGTATCTGATATCCTTCGACTGATATGCGTAAGATTTCATTTGCAGAAGTGGCATTTCGATCAAGCTGAAAGTAAAGGAAGAGAAATTATAAAAATATGATAGAAAATAAATAAACGTTAGAGACAAAATTCAGAGACATTACTGCATATTTCGATACTTGTTTCGAGCGATGCGAATACATATGCTCGTTAAAGCCGGTGAGCATATATAATTTACGAAGTAATTGTCTGCTACCTGTCGCGCACGCACACACAAACACACATACGTGATGATAGGCGTGTGTAAACAGAGATCCCTCGTATGTATAATACTTCTTATCACAACGATGATTTAGAGCAACTCCTTATCTAAAACTTATGCATTTTCCGTTCGCTTTAGTTTCCGAGCGTGAGCCCATTGGATGTGTACCATCACATCGCGCGTTCATTTCCTCTCTTGCCAAAAATCGTGACGTTTTTAGTGCAAAAATCTATGCCGCGATGTGAATTATGAGTGAGTTATCGGGATCAATAAGGAAGTCACTTTTCGACCATACGGATTACAGATTGCGCTTCGGCTTCATCGATCTTTCATATTTTTCAAAGAGCATGTGGCTACGATCTCATTTCGAACTCACAAGCCTCGTGTATTGACACAAATAAGGAGATACAATGTAATTGTTTCGCGGAGTTATTACACCGTATTACAATTGGGTCTCGTATAACAAACCTTGTATAACGAGCTTTGTAGTCACGCGAAAATATAGATTTGGTAATTAAATTATTACATAATGCATGTACGACGCGTATATACGCAAAGGAAATATGCTATTATTTCGCTTAAAAGACTTATAAATTGATCTTTTGCTGCGAAATTGCACATTGTTTATCGTAAGACAGTTCGTCTTGCGGTCACGGCCTTGATATGTAAAAATAAAAAGAAATGAATGTATGATGTATATAGAGTCGATGAATCGGAAACCGATAGCTTTGGAACGATAGAGGGAAAGAATAAAAGATGCCGGGCACTTTGACATATCCAATTTATGCTGGCGTAGATCCACCTCTTCCTAGAAGACGAGCTCACACTTGGAACACACAGCATCGTTCGGAATCACGTGTGGCAGAAGTTAATGCGCAGCTTGGTCGGTTGTCTTTATCGGAACCTGCGGTAAGGTACTTGTGATAATTGTGTCAGTCATTTGTATAAAAAAAATTTCCAGTTTTATCCCAAAAAGTGCATAGTACGCGCTTTATCATTAGTTTTAAACGTATCTGCACGAAGTGTATTATATATTTCCAAAGTAGATGGATTATACACGGAGAAAAATAATTTTGCTGTTGTAAAGGAACCATCGTTGTTACTGCATATTGAGAAAAAAGTTAAAAACTTAAAAAAATTATTTATATGATATAAGATTTATTCTTGTGAAGTAAACCGTCTATGAAATAAGCCTTATATTCCATAAATAAGTTTTTAAGTGTTTTCTTTCTTAGTGCATATTTGTTGAGACAGCGACAAAATTTCATTAATATGATTAAAATAGCGAATTATTCATAATTAGAACAGAGACAGTTTTGTTGTCAGGATGGACAAATTCTGCCGAGTAAACTTGTTTTTTGGGCCGCATTAATTTGCTGTTAGAACGAAATAGTGTTTTCCTTAAATTTCTTAATTTGTCCTTACAGCAAAATAATTTTGTAGATTCAGCAAAATAATCCAGCAAATGGCAATTAGTACTCTTAACAAATTGTTTTGTCCTCACAATAACCGACAGATTTTGCTACGAACGTAAAATTTACTGTGTCAGCAAATTATTTTTCTCCATATATAGATTAAAACAATAAGACAAAATATACATCTTCGATTTTCGTCGAGATCTTATTCTTCAAGTTTCCAATATCGCCGTTTGTATGCGAATTATGAGACGACACATGAGAACTATTGCGTGAGAGCACGTAGCAGGTTTCCTAATCTGTAAATAATAGTTGACAGGTTACACAGTACTTCCCGTTGTATTTTGTCGTATTCGTAGAGACATAAGATAAATCACGTATTAACTAATCGAAAACGTCTCTTCATCACGGTTTCCATGGCGTCGCGATACTAACTCGGGAAACACATTTGTGTGCAAATTACACATTGTGTTATAAGAAATTAATTTCGAATCATAATAAAAATCAGTTAGTGCGATTTAACAAACGCGCTCGAAGAAATTTTCGTCCCGTAAAACTCTCGCTTTATTGATTCCTCTTAACGAGAGGCTTCTCTTTTCCCTCGGTATTTAACACCTCTGTAAATAAAAATTCGCAAATACAATATATCCGCAAATAAAAAGCATCTCGATCCTGGCAGCGGAAGATTGCGCAGCGACGAGAGTCGCGAGCGAATTAATCGTCATTTCTCGCGACGTCGCGAAAATCCGCGTTTAATCCGCGCGATGTGCGCGCGAATACGGTCGCTCGGCGCTTTTTGAATATTTAAAAGGAAGCAGGCCATCTTTGAATCGCCGCGCGGCTATGTCACATCCGTCTCGGCCGCGCAACAGTGCTGGAGAGGGGTTAAGACAAAATAGGTTTCTTGATGGCACATAAGAAACAGTGAGCCCTGTTAAATTGCAAGGAGAAGATCGGCCAGCGATTAGATTACCAATCGAACACACGTAACGTTAATGGCAGAGGAACATGTTTACGGTTACAATCCGACGGTCGGGACCGACAGCGATTCCGTACGTAGTCGCTTTGACAGTTTGACAAGTACAGGTTGGGTTCGTGACTGATAAAAGGCGCACCGAACGACCGATACGGGTGTCGCTTTTCAGACAGGCTATCTATTTCGTGTGTGGTTTGTCATGACACGCGGTCCCGCCACGTTTCCGAGTGCAACGTGCTCGCCGAACTCGATGACAGCGAGCCGTCCGCGACGCATCGGGCGAAAAACATAATCGTCGAAGTCAATTTCGCTTGCTACACTCCTTGTGCTCGTCGTAGTGCAGTATTTTATCTACGTCGCTAACACCCATCTCTCAAAGTGCCTCCGTTCTTTGTAATTTCTTTGTCTCGATATTGCCGTGAACGAGTTCTATCGGAGTGACTGCTTCTGGAACAATATCTTGTGCAATATAGCGCAATATTCCAGAAAGACTCGCCCACTATTACGAGATTATCTCTGTCTGTTTTCTCATTCAGATATCGCTTGTTGTAACTTTGTATATACCGGCCGTGTCCGGTCTTTATTATATATTATTCTTTAACTAATCCTCATTGTTACATTTGACAATAATGTGAGCGTGTATCTGTGGTATGCGATGATGTTTTCACATGATGATTTTATGATTTAGAGGGACGAGGCAACGAGCAAGTTGAGATTAAGAGTAATCGCTGGGCACCAATTGGCTAAGAAGGATATTTTTGGTGCGAGCGATCCCTATGTCAGGGTTGACTTGAATACGATAAATGGAGATCACACGGTGGATTCTGCGCTTACAAGAACTAAGAAGAAGACGTTGAATCCAGTCTGGGAAGAGGAATTTATATTTAGGGTAAGATCTTCACGCACTTATGCATTTTTCATCGCCTTCAATTTATATATGTAGAATATTATTAATACGAATTGTGTCTTTTTTTGCAGGTTAAACCAGTGGAACACAAATTGGTCTTACAAGTATTCGATGAAAATAGGTTGACGAGAGATGATTTTCTTGGTATGGTAGAATTAACATTGATCAATTTACCGAAGGAACAAGAAGGTCGTGTTATTCCTGGTAGATTTTATGTACTTCGTCCACGTAGGTATGTATCTTCGCTGACTCTGCTTCAAGCTACATATTATACAACACTTAGGTTTAATATGTTACACACCTTGATTTAATTGATATTATTTGTGTCTAGTTGCAGTTAACATAAGTTTTATAGCATTCTTTCGCTCCTAATCAATTAGCAGCAACGAGTCATCCATGACTCATCAGTGTTGATTACCTTTCTGTTGATTCCAACTAATTTAAGTTCCATTTTTCAATAATGTTCCAAACTTTACTGAGAATATATCGAAAGTATCTAGTTGCCAAACCACTTAATTCGGATTTCTTTGAATTCTGTTATTGCTTTGTATCATTTTATTTGCAAATGCAAAATGAGTAACTTATGAGGATATGGCTAGTAATCATTCCAGTCAGCGATCGCGAGTTAAAGGAACGTTGGAAGTATATCATGCATATATTTCCGATTCATCCACTATCGAAAATGAAGACAGGGAATTAGTATCTGATTCAGATGGATGGGAATTAGTACAGGCAGCGAATAACAGCGGAATAACTCCGGAAGAGCAAACTGCAGATGTATGTACAAGCAAAAAAATTGTTAAATCTGTTGATGCTAAATCGAGCGCAGTATTTTTTCCACATGTTTATAAGAGAGAATAACGCAAACTTCTCTTATACATGCAAATATATAAATGTTAAAATTATTTGCTTACATTATGCACTTTCGTACATGTAGATCATTATGGTTAACGGGCCATTGCCACCAGGATGGGAGGAAAGGCAAGACGCAAATGGTCGTACATATTACGTCAATCATATAGCGCGTTTTACACAATGGGAACGACCGACGGAAGCGTATGTAACGATATCCGTTGAATTCTCGGTTAATAATGCTCTCGTTCAAACATTTTATGTGAATGTTACATTCTTTTTTATAACAGGGATGCGACAGCACAGGGTGAAAGCGTGGAACAACGCAATTTGGATACCGCAGTCACTGAATTCCAACGAAGGTTCCATATCAGTGCCGACGATGAAGGCAGACATAGAAATTCGGTGATAACTCAGGTAAGTCCGACTATATTATTTTCCCCTCGGTAACTATTTCAAGCATTTATTTCGGTATAAGCCCGCAAAACACACACGTATATCGGAAATGAAAAATTAGACAACAAAATGTGTCATCTCTTTAAACACATAAATAAGTAGTTATGAGAATAATTGAGTTGTGAAATTTGAAGCGGCTTTGATGATCATGCTTTGTTTTGAATACAGTGGTTAAGGCTATCCCATAATATTGCTCCATTCTAGTTACTAACATTACATTTACATCTGCCTATGTACTAGAAAATCCTCGACTCTTTATAAGATTTTCTCATATTTGCTAACCTCCATTTATACAATTTTCTTTAGATTAGCTTGCAAATTAGAGTAAACGTAAAAATATGCCTTTGTTCCCTAAATATATTTCCTTAAATAGTTACATCTACTTGCGCTTTTTCTAACCAGTTATGTAGCGGATAACAATATTCTCTGCTTTCAAATCTCCATGTTGGAAGGCACACATTTTACCATCTCTATTTATTATATTTATATTCCTATGTAAGATACATGTGTTCATACGCACACACGCACAAAATATCTCGGTATGTACAGTCAGTGGGGAAAAAATGACGACACTTTTATCTCGATGAATTTCCAAACACATCTGATAACCAATAAGAACACTTAGTATTCAGTAATTCCCAAAAGATAAATTTTCCTATCTCTATCCCAAAAGATAAATTTTCCTATCTTTATCCAAAAGATAAATTTTCCTATCTTTATCTCTATCTAAAGTTTCCTATTTCTATCGGATACACAGACGTTTTCTGAAATTCATCGAGATAAACATGTTCCACTGGTTGTACTTTGATAATGTTGCTATCTATTGTCCAGTAGTGTACATTTGTAAAGGAACACGAACATTATCGCTGTTTATTCAATTAGATTCCAAAGTTATTTTATTATACGGTATTTCCTGTTGGCAAGGGCCTTTAGACTTTGTTTTAACAATGCATTTGGATGTGTAGGACCTTTATTGATATATAATTATGTTTCTAATAACGTTTTCGATTTACGACGGGATTGAATCGCTCCAAGAACAATTAATGACTTTGTCATAAGCTAGATGGAACTTATAATGTCATTAACACATTGACTGCCAACTACGAGATATTTCGTAGGTTGTTTACTTGCCCAGGACGCCAACTACGAGTTATCTCGTCGCTTCATTACTTGGTTAAATCAAATTGGCTTCTTAGAGACCAGAATCGTGAAAAGTTCCGTGGCAGTCAACGTGTTAATTTCTCCTTGGAACTCCAAATCCGCCTCAGACGAAAACTAAGAGTCGTTTTACGTTATGTCGTTTCCTCAATGTCAAAGAGTTACAACGTAATAAATAAAAATACAATGTGATAAAATTAGCAAATGAGTAACATTAGAGATTTAGATTGTATATTAACAAGATCTTAATTATTGGAAGGAAAATATATCTTTCTATTTTCAATAATTTTGATATAGATCCTTAGATGATGAAAACGAATTCTTACATTACGTACATTTAAGATTACAAAATTAATACGTCTGTCCACACAATTTGTATGATTAGCATGCAGTATGTAGAAATTTGTGCATGTGTGTGTAAGGATGGTGAAGTTCTACGCGAGGACGATGAAGATTCGGAAGCAAGAGATTGTGAGGGTGGGGATCATAGGGGAGGGGGTATTGGGGATACTTCTTCAGAGTCCGGACGTTCTGTCGATCAACGTGGATACCTTAGTGAATCTGAAGAACAGGTATTAACACACACAAAATTGTCGTATTGTGTTGTATTCATTTTTAGTTAAATATAACGCTTAATATGTGTATAATATATATATATACAGAGTGACTATTAAGAGCATGTTCAGGGGAAAAATGTAGAATGCAAGACATTTTATTGAACATGAGCGTTTTTACTTTCGTTTGTAACTTTTGTTCTTGAGGAGAAAGGGACAATGATGAAGTTAAGCGAAATAGATAGCTCACTCCGTAATTTATTTATAACCACTTCCCGTCATTATCTATTTTGCTATTTCACCGCTTTAGGAAAAAATGATAAGTTCACAGTAATGAGTTGCCTAATGCTTTGTTGTCTCTGATAACGAAGTATTCGTAAACATGTGGTGAGATCAGAATGTATTTTAACGAATGTAGTGTAGCGGAAGGGAAATATCTTGAATGTTTTCTTTGTAATTATCATAATTTTGAGAGTAAAGTCTGGACAATCTATGTGTTAATATATATAAATATATATATTTTTTTTGTTTTGTTAACAGTATGTACTTTGAAATTACCTCCTTCCCCCCCTTTCAAAATATGAACATGCAGTTAATATCATTCTGAATTAACATACACATGTGTATGCTTGTTACAGTGTGAATCGCGTATGAAAGTTCCCTCATTTCATGCATCATTTCGAACTGGCACATCCACTTTTGAAATAGAACTGAAACAATCAAATTATACAAAACATATACATTTCAATCACATACAGCTAACACAACTAGTTAGCATATATGTCGTACGTGTAATACATGTATTCGTAATTATATGAATGTGTTTATATATTTTAATAATTAAAACAAAATTTTAGTTTTACCAGTATTAGGTAAAATTTATTCACATTTTTTATTATTACATTTTTTTGTTCCTATAACATTTAAAATATACATAAAGTATAAATGTGGAATTTTAACAGAAAAGGTATTTTATTTATATAAAAATTAATATTTTCGTACATTTGTGTTCAAGTATTATCGCTTTATAAATTATTTGTTGCATGTACTTTTTAAAACTTTTTACATATTCTAAAAGTTTATTTTTCACTAAAAATCAAGCATGCATTTTTTCGTATTTCTATCATAAACTATACGCAAAATTGCGCTTTACTCAGCATTGTTAAAGTTTTATATTCAAAAATATATTCTCTGGAAATCGTGACGTACGCAGCACTAGCTTGTTGTATTAATAAATATACATATCGTTTTTTATCCTTTATTTGTATTGTTTCTTAGAATACAATATATGAATTTCTTTGTTGTATTTACAGACTGACGATAATGTTGACAGCCCGGCTGGTTCAAGACGTTCATCAGAACAAGTATGGTTAATGCTTTTTCATTGTATAATTTAGCGATTTATGCAATTCGATTTTCTTATTTTATTGTAAAAATTTCAGATTGAAAGCCCTAAACCAGTCCTCCCTCTATCTACTGATGAGGGATTGCCACCCGGCTGGGGTATGCAAATAGCACCCAATGGCAGAGTATTTTTTATCGATCACAATGAAAGGGCAACGACTTGGGTTGATCCTAGAACAGGGAGACCGAGTTCTATACCTAATCCTATTGCATCGTCAACTATGTCAAGAAGTGATTTAGATCAGTTAGGACCACTTCCGGAAGGATGGGAAGAAAGAGTGCACACCGACGGACGTATCTTTTTCATTGATCATAGTATGTGTATAGTTTCGGAGAATTCAGTTTTGTAACACGTCTATCTAGCTATCCAGCTAACAGGATGATGTTAAATGACGTTTAATAACGTCTTCTCCAACGTCAATAAGACGTCATTAAGATGTCATTCGATATTATTAAGATGTCATTTAATATTATTAAGACGTCGTCGACGTCTTAATGACGCCATTTCATGAACTGGATAAATAGTATCATATCTCGATATCTATTTACTTTTTTTTTTTTTTTATTATAGATACAAGAACAACACAATGGGAAGATCCACGTCTGTCTAATCCTCAAATTGCCGGCCCGGTACGACTACAAACATTTGATATTACAGTTTTTTTTCATATGTCCGTGAGACGTATATTTTCTATAAATGATTTCGAAATATTGATTAACTCCTCATTCTTTTAGGCCGTACCATACTCCAGGGATTACAAGCGTAAATATGAATACTTGAAGTCACAACTGAGAAAGCCTGTATGTAGACGCATTAATTAAATAGCTTATAATGATCTGATAGCATAAACAATGACGTAAATATGTTTATTATATATAAAATTTATTTATAAAATCTTATTGCAGAATAACGTTCCTAATAAGTTCGAGATCAAAGTCGGACGGAACAATATCTTAGAAGATTCATACCGTATTATAAGTTCTGTCAACAGAGTTGAAATTTTAAAGACGAAACTGTGGGTAGAATTTGAGGGTGAGGTAGGTTTAGATTATGGTGGCCTTGCAAGAGAATGGTTCTTCTTGTTATCCAAGGAAATGTTTAACCCGTATTATGGACTCTTTGAATATTCCGCAACGTAAGTATAAATAGTACTCTGCATACTGTATACCAGTGGTTTATACCAGTTTATACCGGTTTACATACTGGTCGTTCATAGATTGGAATAAAAAACGAATCTTTTTTTATCCTCAGAGACAATTATACCTTACAAATTAATCCTTGTTCTGGAGTGTGTAACGAAGAACATTTGAATTACTTCAAATTCATAGGACGTATAGCAGGAATGGCTGTTTATCATGGCAAGTTGCTGGATGGTGAGTCTCACGGTTATAATGCAGTAAAATGGTAAAATTATCGTAAATATTGATCTCAATATATCTTTCAATTTTTACACACAACACATTATTCCAGCTTTCTTTATCCGACCGTTTTATAAAATGATGTTGGGTAAAGCGATTGATCTGAAGGACATGGAGAGCGTTGATTCCGAGTATTACAACTCTCTTTTATGGATTAAAGAGAACGATCCCAGTGAATTGGAACTCACTTTTTGTCTTGACGAAGAAAGTTTCGGTCATACTTCCCAAAGAGAGTTAAAGCCAGATGGCGCTAATATTCCTTTGACGGATGAAAATAAGGACGAATATATAAGTTTAGTCATACAGTGGCGGTTTGTATCTCGTGTACAGGAACAAATGAATGCGTTCTTGGAAGGATTCAATGCTCTTATACCGCCGACATTGGTAAAGATATTCGACGAGCACGAGCTGGAGTTGTTAATGTGTGGCATACAACATATTGATGTGAAAGACTGGAAACAAAACACTTTGTACAAAGGAGACTACCACGCGAACCATCTTGTCGTGCAATGGTTCTGGAGAGTCGTTCTGTCATTCAGTAATGAGATGCGTTCTAGATTATTACAGTTTGTGACTGGTACATCACGCGTTCCAATGAACGGATTTAAGGAACTTTATGGCAGTAATGGACCACAATTGTTTACAATTGAGAAATGGGGAACACCGGAGAATTATCCAAGAGCTCATACTTGGTGAGTTTGTGACTAGAATAATGCATTTTCTAAAGTTCTGAAACTTCATTCGTTAACTTACGGCCATATTTATGCATAGTACGTGTGTATTAGAACAGTATCACGGAACAATTATTTTTTAGTTTTGCTTAATAAAAAAGTTTTTTTTTTTTTCAAGTTAGTATACAACGATACAAATTATTGTTTCAGTTTTAATCGTATTGACCTTCCTCCATATACAAGTTATCAACAACTCAGGGATAAGCTAGTTAAAGCAATTGAAGGTTCTCAAGGTTTCGCTGGAGTCGACTAGCACGAAATACCCTTATTCATGATGATATCTGTAATATAATGTATATACTATATATACATACTTATAGGTACACAGAAGAGTATACCGTCTTAATATGATTATCTATTTAACAACTTCCTGCACTTTAATGATTTAGTTGTTTCTTAATTATAAGCGACAACGTTAAGACAATGTGAGAAAAAAAAAATGTTTAAAAGTTAATATTATTGCTTAGCTTTCTGGGATAACTTCAACAAGTCTTTCAGCATGTTACAGTTTTAAAAAATACGTTGTATTCAGTGACAAATATTTGAATAATCTGAAATGCCGCTGAAATCTATAATCAGATATTGACTCTTATCTACTTTTAAAGAGATTTGCCATATTTTTACAATCACATTTTCGGCTTTCTCTTGGGAGAAGTAATTTGGCGGGTATAACAAGGGAATGATACTTTATAATATTAAGATGTAAATAATTTTGTATTATGATATTGATTTATCGAACGATTGTTCTCATTCGTTTTAATATATATATATATATATATATTTTA